CATTTTCCTTTACATAAGAAAGGAAATTTGAGCAAATCAAAAGAAAAATTGTAGGCCCTTCATAAAACCACAGTCTCACAGTGGTCTTTTTCCATTTTTAAATGGTGCTAGTTGCATTTACTCTGACTTTGAAAACAAAGAAGGATAAGTTATCTTCGTGATCTCTGTAAAGAGGCTGGTCAAATAGTGAGGTGGGGAGAAAAGAAGTTGTATATTTTCCCACTGCTTTGCATTTAATGAATTTGTAATTTGCAAGCTGTTTCCAAGCATTTTTGTACGTTCCAGAGTCTGAAAGGTACACAGGAATGAGATCGTGAGTCCAAGTGCCAGCACTGGGCCCAGTTTGATAGGAGCCAATGCAGGGTTTATTATTCTTGTGGCTTGCTGAAATTTAATTACTTGTCTTTTGTTATGAACTCATTATCTTTGTGATCTCTAAATAAATCTGACCTTCTGTACGCTAGTGTCCTTACTGGCTGCGATAAATACCTCTTGCTTAAGGTTTCACTCAGGCTGCGTCAGGGATGTGAACCAGGTAGCAAGTGGTAGTACTTTTTATTGGTAGCTTAATTTCTGCTATCTAACATCTTATTTTTATTTCAGTCATGTGAGGAGAAGATAGAAAAATGATCTTACTCTTAGTTGGGTACTCACCAGGAACAATAAGCACTTAGCAGTCTAATCTTAGATATATTTTAAATAAGTTTCTAAATTTATTTGAAAAACTTTTTTGCAATCCACAGAATAATTATCCCTCATCTTGGGTTTCTAAGCCTGTCTGTCTCACTTAAAAGATTGAAAACCTATAAACAATGATTAGTCCATTTCTTCCTGTTGTATCTTTTTCTCATCATTGGAGTTCACTGTACCTCCCTAAGACTCAACTAAACCAAGCAAGATAGATGGAATTTATTCGTGGTTCTAAATAAACTGGAGATAGAAAGACAGTTCTGTTCTGATGCCCAAGTCTGCCAAGAGCAAAGACACGAGAGGGGGACAGCTTGGGAATTGGGAACAAAATTTTTCCTGACTAGGGACAGCAGGGACCCAGGATTCCTGGATTGTGTTATTACCCTCTGTCTAGAAGATATTGTCTCCTCATCTTGCATGGAGGGGGTCCTTGGAATGTGGGCACCCAGAGGGAAGGGGCTCTGCCAGCTCCTTGTGCCACAGCCATCCCAAGCTCAGTGTCAGGGCCAGAACCATGAATAGTTCACAGGATGAGGCTTTCAGAGTCCCACATGCCCTCTCGTCCCCATACCTTCCTCCTTTGTGCCTACCACTGCACCTGAAACTCCACAGGATTGTTACAGATGAATGAAGACAGCAGACATCGAGTGCCTGAGCACCAGACACATCAGTTCATTTCATCTTCACCATGACCTTGGAAAGCAGCTACTGTGATCACCCCCACTGTTTGCAGGTGAAGAATCAGAAGCTTAGGAAAGTTTAGAAGCTTCCCCCAGAGGCCCACAGCTAGAAAATGACAGAGCTGGGAGGGGAGCCCGAATTGTGCAAGCCTGTGCTTTTAGCCACTCTTCCATGACTTATCTTAAGCATCAAGCTTTGTGTTAGTATTGTGTGAACTTAACACAAAATGCTTTTTCCTGCAACTGGTTGTGTGACCATAACTAAGTTAAATAACCTCTTGGACACTCACTTGCTACATGTTTAATATAAAAGGATTAGACTAGGCCATCAAAATATTGGATTCATTGAGTAAATGTTCATTGGGCATCTACTGTGTACTGATTGAGACACAGACCCTGTCCTTGTGGAGCTTGTTACAACTATAGCAAATCTATTCCTATTGCTGTCTGATCAATACTTTGGTCTGCATAGTTCTGGAGAGTATTAGAAAACAACAACAATGACAAAACAATATGCAGTATGGCTATCATTTAGTGAATGCTTGTTTGAAGCATGGTGCCATGCAAACTGCTTCACAAGCATTACTCACCTAGTTTTCCAACCCTATGTGGTTGGGATCCTATTATTCTCATTTTGCCTACGACAAAACCAGGGCTCAAAATTTCTAATGTGCCCATCAATGCACAGCTCAGAAGTGGCAGTGCAAGAATCCCAATATACATGGGTCCGACCCCAAAGCCCTAGCCACTGCACTATTCTAAGCAAGACTCCATACTCCAGCTATTTATAATCTTCAGAGGCTCCTATTCCCACCTTGACTCTCAGTTATTTCAGAAGAGGATAACTAATGATAATTTTTTAAGGAATAAGAGAGGTTTTCCCACATTCCTTGTGTTCATAGATGTCCTCTGTAGCATATTTGTTCTGGTGGAGTGTTTTGCAGAGGTTGAACCTTGGACTGCCCACATCAGAATCACTTGGAGTACTTGTGAAAATGCGAGTTCCTGGATCCGGGGACCGACCTACCAAATTAGACTTTCTGGATAGGAGGTCTGGGAACGTGCATGTTCAACAATCCCGCTGGAGGAGTCTTTTCTTACTAAAAATTGAGGTTACTGTCCCGGTGGTATATATGAGCCCTAGCAGAATCACCTGTCATATGCCTTATACCCATGTGACCTCTCCGATTTAAATTCTCTGATGTTTTAAATATCTGTGGTTTGAATTCTCTAGCATTATAGATGGAGCTGTCATCAAACCTCTGTATTCACTGTGATTGGAAGCTAGCTTCTTGCGGTGAGCTCTGTATTGTTCTGGAAGAGCCCAGCACTGGCTGAAAGGTTTCTTACATCCATGATGTATATCAGGTTTTCTCTGGGATGAGATCCCTGCTGTTAATTCAGGTATTTGCTTTCAGTGGTTTATTATTTTTTTTTCTATGAGATCTTCACAGTTGAAGCACTGAAGTTCAAACAGGCCCAGTGGGGAGAGGGCCTTCACGCGGGAATTTCAGCCTCCCAGTGAGGGTTTCCACCCACAGGTGAAGGTATCCTCGGATCAGGAGCCCCGTGAAGTCATGGCCCAGAGCCCTCCATTGGAGGGCGGTGAGAGGAAGCCCAGTATTCACGTCTGCCCACCTCCCCTCAGCCCCAGCCTGGCCTCCTGGCCTCTGCTGCGCTGAGCTGGGCCGAAGTCTTCTGATGGAGCGTTCAGGTGTGGGGCCAGACAGGCCAGGGTTCAAGGCCTGGCTTTACTGCTTGCTGGCTGAGTACCTTCACTTCTCTGAGCCTCCATTTCCTCCTTTGTAGGGCATTGAAAGATTAAATGAGATAATGTGCATTAACTGTCCAGCACAGGGTAACTGCTCAGCTCCAGGGAAAGACTCTTGTAGGTTCAGTGCAAGTTGTGCTTTGCCGCATGGTTCCCCTCCCTCTGCCTCTGCTGCCTGCCAGATCCGTTCAGGTCGCAGAAACCCCGCCAGGACTGGCAGCCCCTCATTCTCCATCTGCTTCTCTCAGATGCACTCAGTTCCTTTCTTCTCCTTTGGTCTGTTTGAACTTTGGTGATCAAATCTCAGTTAAAGGAAGAGCACTTAGATGTCAAGGTCCCATGTTAAGAATCCCATCAAAGACCAGGAAGTAAACAAAAAAGGTATTACAAAGCTTGGGTGCTAAAGCTCAGGTTTTTAAATGCAGAGCACTCATGCAGAACCTAACTGTTCTTACTTTAGAAACGACTATAACAAACCTTAAATTAGAAGCGGTAGAGCATTTAGAAGCCAGAAAACTGCCACACATAGGCATTTACTGATAGCAACAAGAAATTGTTGGAACATCACAGCAAAAAGAAAGAAAGATGGAAGGAAAGAAAGAAACAAAAGAAGGGAGAGAGGGGAAAATAAAAGGAAAAAAGAGAGACGGAGAGTGGAGAGAAAGAGAGAGGAAGGGAGGCAAGGGGGGAAGGAGGGAGGGAGGGAGGAACAGATTTAAAAATCCCAAAAAGTTTAGCAATCATTAGTCATTCACTGGGGGGCAGCAGTTTTTAAAGTGTAGCTAGGGATGAGGGGGTTGCCTGGGGGCAGTCCCCAAGATGTTTTCAGGGGGTTTGTAAGGTCCAAACAAATTCTATATAGTACTAAGACATTATATACCTTTTCACTCCCATTCTCTACAAGCTTACAGTGGAGTTTTTCAGGCACAACCTGTGATGAAGGGGTAACTTTGAAAGCTAGTGGGATAAGTATCTGTGTGTTCTTGTGTTTTAAAGATTTTTCGGTTTTAATGTTAATACAATAAATATTGATAGATACAATCCACATAAAACAAAAGCAATTTGCGGTCCTCAACAATTTTTTTTAAGACAGGGTTTTGCTCTGTTACCCAGGCTGGAGTGCAGTGGCACAGTCACAACTCACTGCAACCTCCACCTCCCAGGATCAAGCGATCCTCCCACCCCAGCCTCCTGAGTAGCTGAAACTACAGACACGCGCCACCACTGCCAGCTAATTTTTTGTATGCTTTTGTAGATGGGATTTCACCTTGTTGCCCAGTCTGGTCTCAAATTCCTGAGCTCAAGTGATTCGCTCACCTCGTCCTCCCAAAATGCTGAGATTACAGGCGTGAGCCAACACGCCTGGCCCAATAATTTTTAAAAGTGTAAAAGGACCCCAATACCAAAAAGTTTCAGAATAACCGGTATAGGGATAAACAGCCCAGTGCACCCCTGAGCCATAACATCCTGTGGGAGAGCAGAGAAGTATCATGTGCTTTTGAATGTGAGTCGTGGCTGCAGGCCACAGAAGGGCTCCCAGGCCACCTGTGGCTGCCTTCTTGCATCTTCCGTGGCCTCCCTTGTGAGTAATTTCCTAAGAGAAAGTACGCATGTGTGCATGTTTGAGAGCGAGAGAGAATGCGCATTGGGACAATTGGAACAATCTCTTATTCATTTTTTTCTAAGCCCCACCCAAGGGCCAGGCTGACACATAATTAGTACTCAGTAAATGTTTTGGAATTGAGTTAATCAACATTTAGTGTATTAGTCTGTTCTCACGCTGCTAATAAAGACATACCAGAGACTGGGCAATTTATAAAGGAAAGAGGCTTAATTGAGTCGCAATTCATCATGGCTGGGGAGGCCTCAGGAAACTTACAATCATGGCAGAAGGGGAAGCAAACACATCCTTATTCATATGGTGGCAACAGGGAGAGGTGCCAAGAAAAAAGGGGAAAAGCCCCGTATAAAACCATCAGGTCTCATGAGAACTCACTCACTGTCACAAGAACAGCAGCACAGGGTAACCCCCGCCCCTCCCGCCATGATCCCTCCCATGATACGTGGGGATTCTGGGAGCTACAATTCAAGATGAGATTTGGGTGGGGACACAGCCAAGCCGTATCAGTGTGTCTGTTGAGGGTGCCAGAGACGTTTGTTATTCCATTTGAAAAGATTTATTTGAAAACAGCTAAAATTTGGCTAAAATGATTTTAAATGATTACCTGCTTTAAAGAGGGAAACATATCCATCCAGAACCCATGTTTATGTGATATGGTGGGAGTTCAGGCCCTGGTGGCAGCAGGATCTTCAGGCACCTTTCACCCCCCAGAGCTATGCCACTCTGATCCCTAGGGATCACATAGACTTGGAATCAGTCTGGCTGTACCTCTCAAGCTGTGCCACCATCCCATAGCTGCCACAACCTTAGTATCATCTTCTGAAAAATTAGGCATCCCCATAGGACTGCCCACAAATGTGCCCTGGGGATTGGATGGAAACACGCACAGAAAGCCCCTCCCTCAGTGCCCAGTGGCTGAGAGTGCGCATGAGATAGGGGCTGTCCTTATCAGCCTTCAGCTCATTGTCAGCGAGTTTGGGGTGATGATGGATTTTGCCACAGACTGCAGCATCATGTTTTCCTAACAAGAGTCACTATCTACACATAAGATTTATGTTTAAAAGAAGGTCCTAGTGTGGTCATCTGTTCATTCCTCTCTTGTCAGACACGTGAAGAGCACCCACACTGAGCAGGCCCCACACCAGATGATAAGGAAGCAGAGATTCCCAGTCCAGTCCACGCCTGCTAGAGCCTCACAGCCTGCTGAGGGAGGCAGGCGCTCAGGGATCAGCACAGATCAGTGTAGTAAATTCTTCAGTGACAGCAAGAATAGCTGACTCGTGGTGAGCATTCACTCTGTGCTGGGCAAGGCCCTTTGCATGCCTGGTGTCGTTAATTCTCACAGCCACCCTGTGAGGCAGGTTCTGTTATTATCCCCCCTTTAAAGGAGGAAACTGAGTCACCGACAAGTTAAGTGTTTTGCTAATGAATGATAGAGCCTGAATTTGAACCCAGGCGATCTGGCTCCAGGGCCTGTTCTCTTCTGCATGATGCTGTATCTCCTCCTACACCTCCAGGCCCTGCAGCTCCGGGTCAGTGTCTCCTGTTTCCTCAGGAGGGCCCAGGGTGGGGAACAGCACGTGGAGTTAGGAGTCATGGCTGAAGCTGAGGTCCTGGCTTTTCTTCTTGCCTCTGTGCAACTTCAAGCAAGTTATTTATCTTCTCTGAGCCTTAGTGTCTTCATCTAAAAGGCAGGGGTGATCATGGGACCTACCTCAAAACTTGTTCGTAGGAGCAAAAAAATACTGTGAGTCAATATATCTCTCTGGTTAAAAGAAAAGAATGAAGAAAGCAGCTTCACTCTAGGCTCTGCCAGCTGTGTGATCCTGGAGAAGATATTTAACCTCCTGGAGCTTTAGTTTCATCCTCCATATAATGGAGATAATAAAATGCTTGATACAAGATTTAAATGAGACAATAAAATGTAAAAGGGCTGAACACAACTGATAATTGTTCAGCACAGGTTATCTTCTATTATCACGCTTTTGTGCTTAGTGGGTTGCAAAGCAGGACAATACTACTGTGATGAAGCTGGTCTTTGGCTCTAAGGCAAACCAAGTCCCAAGTGACTTTTTGGGGCAGGGAGACATCAGTGACATCATGGTCTTGGCACACTGAAGTCCTTAAAGGACTCTGTGCTCTAGGATCTTGCAACTCATATGGTCCAGGACCACCAGCATCAGCTGCAGCTGGGTGCGGATCAGAAATGCAGAATCTTGGATCCCACCCCGCACCCCCTGAATCAGAATTTGCATTTTGACAAGATCCCCAGGTAATTCTTACACACACTCAAGTTTGAGAAGCACTGGTGTCACGTGGAAAGAAAGAATGGCACTGATAATGTGGAGTGAGAAGGGTTAATGTTTAGTTTGGCTGTGGCCAAGGCACCGGAAACAGAAGGTTCCAGAGATTGAAGCACATGAACTGATGGGACAGGAAGGCTCTCTTTCCTGCCTCTGTCCTGGATGGCCAGGGGCTCCCGCCTGAGACCTGTGCTGAGCTTCGAGCTGCAGTGAGAAAGGACCCTGGTCAAGCAAAGCAGAGGGCAATCTGGGGCAGAGGGAGGCCTGAGAGCCCTTGCTCGGGGTTGCCTGAGCTCAGGGTTGCCAGGTGAGCCCAGGAAGGTCCAGTCCTTGGGCCAAGGCCATCTGAGGTAGAGTGGGGAGACCCGGAGAAACACCACAGGACTAACTGAGCAGGACCCTCTTGCAGGAGCTGGGTGGCAGGGCTGGGACAGCTGAGAGCCCCTGGGTCTGCTTGCACACCCGGACCTGCCCTCTGACCCCTGCCACCCAACTGTGCTGTGACTGTGCAGCTGTGACTGTGCCTGTCCGCCTTCCTCCGCAGTGCTGGAGCAGCTGCTCCCAGAGCTCACCGGGTTGCTCAGCCTTCTGGACCACGAGTACCTCAGCGATACCACCCTGGAGAAGAAGATGGCCGTGGCCTCCATCCTGCAGAGCCTGCAGCCCCTTCCAGGTCAGCCACCAGCAGCCTGCCTGGAGGAGCTCCACTTATGTAGGACAACAAAACCTCCCTTCACCTGACTCAAGAACATGCAGGAGCCCTCTGCCCCACCCCCATCTCCAGGGGCTGCCGCAGGAGGAAGGCTAAGCCCTGGACACAGCGTCCAATGCATTCCATGCAAGCAAGAGCTTGTCCACTGGGGCCCCTCCCCACCGACAGCCCTGGCTGTGCTCTTTGTACTCCTTCACCCCCACCCTCCACACACACACACACCCACATACCCCCCACACTGACCTACAACACACACATCCAGCCCCTCACACAACTCAACATGCTCCCATGCCCCCCACACACCCACCACACCTGACACATGACACGCACACACCCTAGCATATGCCTGACAGCCCCAGTAATCTGTTTCCATACTGGGCTTCTGGGCATCCTTTTCCCTGGAGAAAGAGATCCTCAATAACAGTGTAAAAACTAAAACAAACTTCGAAACCCAGTGAAATAATTTAGGACATGAATGCGCTTTGCAAAGTGAGCACTGTGTCCCATATGGGCTAGAAGTATGAGTGCGGCAGGGGAGACCTGGTCCCTCCTCCTTCACAGCTGGGGGGTCCCTCTTCTTCCTCACAGCAAAGGAGGTCTCCTACCTGTATGTGAACACAGCAGACCTCCACTCGGGGCCCAGCTTCGTGGAGTCCCTCTTTGAAGAATTTGGTAAGTGACCCCCTCCCAGCCTCAGCTACGGAGCTATCCCTTTCTCCCTGTGTGTGCAGAAGCGTCCCCCGACTGGACTGGGCCTGGCTCTAACATCACATCATTAAGTCACTTGGGGCAAGTCCTTGGCCCCTCTGGGCTCTGCCAGCTCTGAAAGTCTAATCAAAGTCTGCCTAGGAATAGGAATTGAGCTCAGAGATTCGAGGAATGGTAGGGATGACCATGCAGTCCAAAGAAGGCGTGGCACGTTAGGGCATTTCCTCGCTGGCCGTGCCCAGGTGATTGCCACTTGAGACACTGGGCTGAGTGGTGCAGTGGCTCAGCAGAAATGAGAGCTTGCGTGGCTGCCATGGGCACGGGAGCAGCTGAGCCGGGTGCATGCAGAGTACCTGCCGACCTAGCCCTATCCTGAGGGAAGACAGCCCTGTTCAACACAGAAAGAAAGCTACAGGTCTCGGTGAGAGAGTTTTGGGGACTCATAGACTTAGGGAGCACACTGTGCCTTTATAACATCATGCTCAAAGATTTCCAAAGTACCAAAACAAATATGATTTTATTTGATCCTCTCTACAATCCTGGAAAACAGACAAGGCAGGCATCATTGCCACCAGCGTACTGATGAGTTTCAGAGTCATAAGTTATTTGCTTAGGGTTACTAATGGAGGGGTGGTGGAGCCTGACCTCACACTCAAGCCTCCTGACCCCAAATCCAGCCCTCTTCCCCAGGGTTGTGCTGCTCATCCTTGGCTTTCTTTGCCCCATGGTCTGTCCCTCTGTAGACTGTGACCTGAGTGACCTTCGGGACATGCCAGAGGATGATGGGGAGCCCAGCAAAGCAGCCAGCCCTGAGCCAGCCAAGAGCCCGTGCCTGAGAAACGTGAGTCATGGCCTGGGTTCCCACACCGCAGGGCCTCTGTGCCTCTGGAGGAGGCAGGGGAAGCTCTCCCCTTCACGCTGGGTGCCCTCCTGGCGGTTCTGGACCCTGTTGTCTCTCTCGGGTTGTGGGTGAGGGCACAGGCAGCACCATATGAACATTTCAGTGGCCCATGATGTGCTCCCTATGTGTTTTTTTCCTTATTTAATTTTATTTTTTTTTTTATTTTGCCACCTTCCTGACTGGGAAGTCACTGTGTTTGTGCTGAGCAGGGAGAATGTGGTGAACTTATCTGTGCCTTCAGGCCCGAAGGACGTCACCACCCCAGCTTCTGATTGCATAACATAAGCCGGGCTATGGGAAAAGCTCCAGACCAGGAGTTGGGTGACCTCTGCCCGCCCCCATGGCTCTGCTGTGTAGCCTTGGGCGAGTTGCTTCTCTTCTCTGAGCCTGAGTTTGTCACCTACAGAATGAAAGACTGGAGCACATGTAGGATGCCCAACCTTGGGGCCATGGAATTAGAGCAAGGGGCTCATAATCACAATAAGCTTTATCTGTCAACTGCATAATTCATTGTCATCATCACTAGCGATGGTACCAGTCACTAACAACTTACTATGTCCTTTACATGCTGACAGCAACTGAATGAGGCTGGCACGATTGTTATGCCCATTTTACAGATGAGGAAACTGAGGCTCAGAGCAAATTAGTGATATGACCCATGTCCCACAACTCACACGTGGCAAAACAGCTGTAAAGCCATGGTTCCCCTGGCCCAGTGGCTCAGCACTCAGCTGCAGGTGGTCCTGCCGCACTAAAGAACAGGCCTCACGCTTCCTTGTCCTACTGCACCCCGTGTGTGTGTAGACGTGGTTACAGAGTAGTGCAGAACTCACAGTAGCTTCTGGTAATTCTGCATGTGCTCAGTAAAAAGTGTGACTACTGCTGTTTGGCAGTCCACAAACCTTGCAGACATTCCAGGGGAACCCCGATGATTAAAAAAATTGGGGTAAGAAGCACTGGATAAATATGCCGTCAAGTTTTGCCAGCTCTGTGACTCTATTAAAAGGTATGGCTTCACATCCACACTGCCTCCTGCCTTCCACAAGCTCCTGCCTCCCTCTCCCTCAGGCTCCCTCTCCCCACCCTACTCCACTCCCCTAGCCCTCTTTTTTGTCTCCTTACAGGCAGCCAACCTGCCTCCACCACTCCCCAACAAACCTCCCCCTGAGGATTACTATGAAGAGGCCCTTCCTCTGGGACCCGGCAAGTCACCTGAGTACATCAGCTCCCACAGTAAGTTCTGGTCCCCTTGGGGGGGCTGGGGACTTCCCCTCCCTGAGAAGCCAAATCTCAGCTCCTCTGTGGAGCTGGAAGTGCAAGCCTGTCACCCTCCCAACCATGTCACCATTGACTGAGGAGAAGCTGCCCTGGGCACCTGGCCTCTTCGGTGACAGCCTGGGTGGACCAATGTGTGTGGCCCCAGGGGCTAGGGACTTAGGTTCTAGTCCCAGATCTGTGTGGCCTTGGAAAATCCCCTTGCCCTCTGGATCTCTGTTCTTCCACCCTTAAAACAAGAAAGAGGAACCAGACACACTGTGTCGGTGTGCTAGGAGGCAGCTACACAGATGACCACCACTATACTGTTCCCCCTACTAAAACTGCTAACCCAAGTGCTCCTCTCGAGCGGGTGGTGAAATTGTTTCAGTAGACTCACATCCTACAGGTGGGTTAGGTTATCGAGTCAATGCATAAAATAAAAAGCATGCGGTCCAAACCAGAGGTTGTCAGAGTAGAGTGGGGGTACCCAGGGGTTCATAAGATGACGTAGGCAGAAATATCAGAAGCTTTACTTCTATTTAGTTCAACACATCTTTTAATAAATTCCATGTAAATGTTTTGTAGTATTTATAATCTGATAATAGCATATTTTTTTTAATGTTTATATATACACATATACAAAAACACACATAAATATATGTATATATTTTTACTAGTAGGTGAGTGCAGTAAAATAATTTAGTGAGCACAGGTACAGGTTACCATTGAAAATCTCTTAAATGGGCCATAAAAGACAGTCTTTGGTCTTTTCATCGGTTTCCTCCAGCATTGCAACACATGGACGTTCTTTTGAGTGAAGATCAGATGAAGTCACTTGTTTGGGTAAAAGGACTAAATGTTACATATAAGAAACTATATCCTAATGTTTGGATGGCTCAGGATGAGTAGTTGAATTTGTAGAAGATACTGTTTGTGTGATGCTACTCTGTCATTCAGCAGCACAGTGGAATGTTCTCCAACCACCAAAAAATCATCAGATTTCTAAAATGAATTCTGATCGGCACAGACAGATCGGTTTTATTATGTCATTGAAAACATCAAACACAAAGTACTGCGTACAATTCCATTTGTTTTTTTAAATAGGGTGTACACACACACACACATATATATACATACATGCATGCATCTGTTTTAACAATTTTTCAAGGATATGCAAGGAACTATTAATAGGATTTTCCTGCGGGAAATTAATAGAAATATGGGTGAAGGGAACATGTTTTTTCATTCATACTCTTTTGTATTACTGTTTGTGCTTTTTACCATGGTTGAATTTTTTTATTGTGGTAAAATACACATAAGATTAACCATCTCCACCATTTCAAACTGTCCAACAAGTGACATTTAGTACATTCAGTACATTCACAGTGTTCGCAGCCATAACTACTATCTAGTCCCCAAACATTGTCATCACCACAGAAGGAAGCCCATGCCGCTAAGCAGTCACTCCCCATTCCCCACCCCAGCCCCTGCTAACCACCAATTCACTTTCTGTCCGTAAGGATTTGCCTATTCTGGACATTTCACATAAATGGAATCATATCATCTGTGGCCTTTTGTGTCTGGCTTCTTTCACTTAGCGTGTTTTCTAGGTTCATCCATGTTGTAGCATGCCTCAGAACTTCTTTCCTTTCTGTGGCTGAACACTACCCCACCATAGGGATAGACCACATTGTGCTTATTCATTCCTCAGCTGATGGATCTTGGGCCGATTGCACCTTTTGGCTATGGTGCTTGGACCAGGTAATCCACAGCCCTCTTCAGCCTTGATAGTCTCAGGTTCTGTGTTATCGCAGATGTAAAACAGCCAACTTTATTTTATACGTTCAAGGGCAGGGAACAAAGTGCTGCTGGGCCTTCAATCCCAGGTCAAGCCTATTGGCTAGATGGGGCTCCTTCACCTCCCCAGGGAGCTCACTTCCCTCTCAGACAGGGCAGAGAAGACACCTCCCAGAAGCCGCTGGAATCCTGGGGTAGAAGGAAAGGGAGGGCTTCAGGAAGGGCCGGGAACCTTGTCCAGGGAAAGCACGCCAAGCCCATCAGGGAGTATCCTTCCTCTCGCGCACAGCGTCCAGCCCTGCCAGGTGCCCTCATGCCCCCTCACCCTTCCCCACTTCACACCTCTGGCCCTGGTGAACACCCCTGTTCACCTCCCAGGAGATGTCCAGCGTCTGAGGCCTCAGAGTGCCTGCTGGAAAGGCAGCCTCACTTGGGAGACAGAACGGGGTGTCCCTGTCACTGGGAATGTCAGTGCTGCTGTCTTCAGGAAAACAGATGCACAGGAGGGGCTAGGAGCCCAGAGCAGCATTCTGAAGAGCAGTGTGCTGTGAGAGTGAGTTGGACTGGGTGAAGGAAGGCTTCCTGGAGGGGGGATGTGCACCATTCCCTGAGCCGGCACCCTCAGTTCTGATCCAGGCTCTGTCACCAGCAAACTGTGTGTGGCTTGTTTCCTTGTCTGTAAAATGGGGCTGATCTCTACCTCCCTGCCTTGTGGGAATCAAAGGAGACAATCACAGTAATAACAGCTGGCACTCGTTTAGCATATTGTGTGTGCCAGGCACTGTCCTAAGAATTCACATGCATTGTATCACTAAGCCAAGGTGGGAATTGCTCATGTCACTTTCCAGATCAAGAATCTGAAATGCAGAGACTTTTCTCTTCGAGGTCACTCAGTAAATGATAGAGGTAGGACTTGAACTCAACTCTGATTGATCCCAAAGCACATGCTCTTAACCATCTGAACTCAAAGTATGTTCCAGGGACTGCCTGTATCAAAATAACATTTTTTAAAAATTATTGAATAAATTTTCCCCAACTCATTGGAGTCCAATATATTTTCTGTTTTTATGGATGTTTAGAATTTTCCTATTAAATAGTCATTTTTTAATGCAGATTCCTCAGCCCAGCCCACTCCAATGAACCAGAATCTCTGGAGATACAGCCCGGGCATCTGCATTTTCAAACAACTCACAGATGATTCTGATACAGAATACAGTCTGAGACATCCCACTAACACCAGCACTGCACTGTGCTACCTGCCAGCTCCAAATGGGAAGGTGTTGTGAAAATCCGCACAGGCAGTTGTAGTCACTATTAGGCACAATATTATTATCTCCTCTAGTTCAGTTCTTCCTCTGCAGTCCCAGAAGTTTAGAAGGAAGTGAGAGGAAGGGCTGAGGTGGAAGAAGACAAGAAGGCAGAGCAGGGAGGGAGGTCTCAGCCCAGGCAGCTGGTACATTGCTCCCTGCAGTACAAAAATCAGAGCTGTGACCAACACACACACCACACACACACACCACACACACACACACACACACACACACACACCACACACACACACACACACGCACACACACACCATGCACACATGCAATACTCTGGGGTCATTGAGGAGGAGCTGACCACTCCCTGCCTAAGGAAGTCAGAGGAAAGCTCTTTGATCTGGGTCTTGATGGATGAGAAGTCCTCTGGCAGAAGAGAGAGAGCACAGGGAACAGCACGAATACGTGCCAGGAGATATGACAGCCCAGCAGGGCAGTTTCTGGTGACAGGAGCAGAGGGACTGTGGGGAGCTAGAACAGATGAGATGCAGAGAGGAGGCCCCACACCCTGGCCCAGAGCTGCTCAGAGTGCCTGCTGTCTCTTCCCTGAGGAGGAGTAGGGGTGTCAGGATCTCCCCCAGTCCTGGCCCCTGGAGTTCGCCTGCATTTCTCCAAAGTGCAGCTCTTTCTGACAACCCACAGATGGCTGCAGCCCCTCGCACTCGATTGTGGATGGCTACTATGAGGACGCAGACAGCAGCTACCCTGCAACCAGAGTGAACGGCGAGCTTAAGAGCTCCTGTAAGTACCAGGTGGGCGTCCAGATGCTGGGTAGGGCTTCTGCCCTTGCCCTGGCTGTTAGCTTGCGTGTGCCCACCAGCCCCTCACCCAGACCATGGTCACCAGAGAGGCCCCAAAGCCCTTGTTTTGGGTGACCCCGGCACTCAGTGGAAGGACCGCTGGAATAAGTCAGGAGGCCTGGATCGAACCCTTTCCCTGACTTTTGATAACTGATCTTAGGTGAGTAATTTATTTTCGCTGAGCCTCAAGTTTCCTTATCTATAAAATGGAGATTTGCTGGGTTATCGTGAAAATAATGAAAGACAACAGATGTCAAGATGAAGAGGTAATGACAATAGCATAAATTTATTGAGCATTTATTGGGTGCCAAACACTTGGCGAAACACTGTCCATGCATTGGTCTCCAAATAACCGGCTGAAGTGGGTATCTCGTTTATTATGATCATTTTACTGATGAGGACACTGAAGCTCTGAGAAGGGAAGTAACCAAGATCACAAAGCAAGGGATAAATCAGTACAACAAAATGCAAAAGTAGGGGCCAGCCAGGCATGGCTCACACCTGTAATCCCAGTACTTTGGGAGGCCAAGGCGGGTGGATCACCTGAGGTCAGGAGTTGGAGACCAGCCTGGCCAACGTGGTGAAACCCCATCTCTACTAAAAATACAAAAATTAGCCAGGTGTGGTGGTGGACGCCTGTAATCCCAGCTACCTGGGAGGCTGAGACAGGAGAATCACTTGAACTCGGGAGGCGGAGGTTGCAGTAAGGCAGAGGTTGCAGTAAGCTGAGATCACACCACTGTAGTCCAGCCTGGGTGACAGAGCGAGACTCCATCTCAAAAAAAAAAAAAAGTAGAGGCCTTAGTCATTACCAGTGTCATGCCTTATGCCCATGCCTTCCTAGCCTCAGGCCCCAGTGCAGGGATGGCTGCAGAGGGGTGAGAAGGTGCTTCCCCAGAATGGCACAGTGACAGATCCTTTCCCATGACGCCTGCAGATAATGACTCTGACGCAATGAGCAGCTCCTATGAGTCCTACGATGAGGAGGAGGAGGAAGGGAAGAGCCCGCAGCCCCGACACCAGTGGCCCTCAGAGGAGGCCTCCATGCACCTGGTGAGGGAATGCAGGATATGTGCCTTCCTGCTGCGGAAAAAGCGTTTCGGGCAGTGGGCCAAGCAGCTGACGGTCATCAGGGAGGACCAGCTCCTGGTGAGTGGTCTAGCAGCAACCGTGTGCCTCGGCCTCACATGGACTTGCATGTGGGTGTGTCTCTACATCCATGTGGATATGTCTGCCTTGGGCATACCCGAATTGACTTGGTGCACAGAAGCTCAAAGCCCCCATGCTCCCAAGATCACGACTTTCCCTACTGGAGCAGAATTTAAACACACACACACACACACACACACACACACACACACACACCCCCTCTGTCTCTCTCTCTCTCTATCTCTCTCTCTCTCTCGCTCTCGCTCTCAGTCTCGCTCTCAAATTTAAAGACCTGGGCTAGGCACGGTCGCTCACAACTGTAATCCCAGCACTTTTGGAGGCCAAGGCAAGTGGATCACTTGAGGTCAGGAGTTCGAGACCAGCCTGGCCAACATGGTGAAACCCCATCTCTACTAAAAATATAAAAAAATTAGCCAGGTGTGGTAGTGTGTGCCTGTAGTCCCGGCTACTTGGGAGGCTGAGTCAGGAGAATCACTTGAAACCAGAAGGCTGAGGTTGCAGTGAGCCGAGATCGTACCACTACACTTCAACTTGGGCGACGGTGTGAAACTCCATCTCAAAAACCAAAAAAATAAGACCTGATATAGGCTTTACCATGTTTTTGTTTTGTCAAAAAAAAGAATTATCACTTTTAAATTTTTGTTGTTTTTCATTATGCAAGTAAATGTGCTTATTTATAAACTAGAGAAAAACAGATGAAAAGTGATTTAAAAAAAAACTATTGACCAAACATCAATAATTTCACTGACCAAGAGATAACCACTATTAAGCTTTAGTGTACACACTTCCACCCTCATTTCCATACATCTGTCTTTTATAAAACGAATCCCCTACAAAACTCAATTGTTCTATTACTTGCTTTTTTTAAGAAGGGTTTTTTTTATATTTGCCACCTCTCAGCCTATCATTTCATAAAAGAAAGAGCACCTTTAATTACAAAGTAAGAGGATAAACATAATTTCAGAAAAAGAATAGCTTCTCTCCCCAGAAATCTGTTGACAAGCCTTGCCCAACACGAATGCATCTGAAACATGACCTTTTCTCATTCCAGGGCGGCACTAGTCCAAGGGACATGACAAACCTCTTTCCAATCCTACCCCTTCTATATTTTTCTCCACACATTGCAGTAGCTAGGACCTCAAGCACAATGCAAACAGAAGTGGGAGAGCAGGCATCCTTGTCTCAGTCTAGAGCTCAAAAGGGAAGTCACTGTTAAGGCTGGGTATGGTGACTCATGCCTGTAATCCCAGCACTTTGGGAGGCTGAGGCAGGAGGATCACTTGAAGCTAGGAGTTCAAAACCAGCCTGGGCAACAAAGCAAGACTCCATCTCTACAAAAAAAAACAAAATGTTTTTTATTTAGCCAGGCATAGTGGTATGCACCTGTAGTCCCAGCTACTCAGGAGTCTGAGGCAGGAAGATTGCTTGAGCCCAGGAGTTTGAAGCTGCAGTGAGCTATGATCATAGCACTGCACTCCAGCGTGGGTGATAAAGCAAAACCCAGTCTCTAAAAATAATAATAATAATAATTTACCATTCAGGATGACATTTGCTGTGGTTTGTTTGTAGATGAAAATGTTCCTTATGATTACATTAAGGAGATCCCTCTGTTTTAGTTCACTTAAATGGATGCTGAATTTTATCAAATACTTTTTCTAGCTCTATTCAGATATGTGATTTTTGGCCTTTTTTTCTCTTCATATGGTTAATGATACAGTTGGTCTTTGAATGTTAAACTGCTCTTGCATTCCTAGAATAAACCCCACTTGGTCTTGATGTAGTTGCTTTTTACATACATCTGGAATCCATTTGCTAGCATTTTGTTCAGGGCTTTTGCGATTGTGTTATGAGAGAAATTAGCGTATAATTTTCTCTTTTTGTAATGTCATTGTCAGGTTCTGGTATGAAAGTAATGCTGTACTCATAAAAAAAGATAGGGAAGTGAGAATCATTATTCATAAACTATTGACTTCCCAAGGCCAACCCTCCATCTCTGCTAGAATTCTGTCTCCCAAATTCCTGCCAGGTAGATTTTTAACTGGCTTCCTCCCGAACCAGCCCATTCCTTCTCTGGTTCTTTAGGATAACCTGGTCTTCCTAGGATTATGCTACAGTCTGCCTCTTCCCAAATAGGTAGTTGTGACTGAAAATTGCCCAAAGATGCCTCCTCCCAGGCTTGTCTTCCAGGGTGAACAGCCTGGACCCTTCAGCTATCCTCGCACAGTGCCCATGGCTAGGGTGGGGGAGGCCTCTAAAGGGAGGTCGGGCCTCCCCCAAGCCTTTGTGTGAGGATGTCTCTCTCCTCTACCCTCTACTTCAGAAGATCCTGATGCCTTTCTCTCCCTGTCCAGTGTTATAAAAGCTCCAAGGACCGGCAGCCGCATCTGAGGTTGGCACTGGATACCTGCAGCGTCATCTACATGCCCAAGGACAGCCGGCACAAGAGGCATGAGCTACGTTTCACCCAGGGGGCTACCGAGGTCTTGGTGCTGTCATTGCAGAGCCGAGAGCAGGCCGAGGAGTGGCTGAAGGTGCGTGGCCTGCACCTGACCTTCCCACCTTCCCACCCTTTCTCTCTTCCCCAAGCCAGCCCTCAGTAGAGCTGGCTCCTGTCCCTGGAAGAGCCTCTTGCTCAGTGCCTGAGCCCAAATGCCCTGTGTGTGGCTAGGGTTTATGTATGGAAATGGGCCTCAGATGTCTCCAGGAGGCAGACTTCATGCTGGAGACCTATGTTCCTTCTAGTTATTTGAATTCCCTTTCCAAATCCTTACTGTGGGCTTGTTCAGGCTGCACTTGTATACCTCCTGGAACTGGAAGCTTAATATCTACAAAGGAAGCTGATTTCATCATTAGACCAGTGAATTCTTAAAACAACAACAACAATAAAGGAAAAATCCTTCCGTGCCTTGAAACGTACATCCTTGTAATGACCACCCATGGGCCAGCTTCTGCCTCTGCAGCTACACGGAACGATGAGAGTTACCAAAAAATGAGCACTTACTTTGTGCCATGCATTGTGCCAAGAGCTTTACATACATTACCTCATTTCTGCTTGAAAATGGGACAAAATATTATTGTTCCTTTTTCACAGATGAGGAAACTAAGACGCAGCTTTGAGAACTTATGTGACTTGCCAAAGGCCACACAACCAAAGTGATTGGAGCCAGAATTTGAAGCTAAGAAGTAAGTCTCCTCCAAAGGCCATAGGCAGGATGACATAGTGATGACATGGGAGAGGGGACTTTGTGGCACCCACACTTGAGTCAAGCCCCAGGCCTAAGGGGCACTTACTGGTTGTGTGACCTTCTGCAAATGACTTTGCCCCTCTGTGCCTGTTTTTTTCATCTGTGAAATGGTCCTTGGAAGGATTCTGGAGAGCACTCGGCACAGTGCCTGCCAGGCAGTGAGTGTGTGGCAACTGTCAGTAATTACTTCCATGATGATTGTGATGCCCTGCCCCCCATTCCTTTACAGCAGACCCCCATCCCTGCACCGCCTCTACTTCACTCTGACACCGTCCTTTCCTCCTCTGATCTTCCTGCTGGAACAATGAAACCAAACACCTCCCTCCCTACCCAGCCCCTTCCTTCCTGTGATAACCAGCGCCCCTGATGGAACATTTGGTGTTTCTCATTACCTCTTTGTCTCAGGAGGGAAGGAAGGGGAGAACCTGCCTGCTGGGGGAGCCTGTACCCCTCCACGGACTGGTGAGGTCGGCAGACGGAGCCCTAGACTGGAGTTAAAAGAGACCTGCCTTGACATTGATCCTGGGCAGCAGTTAGCCCAGAGGTTAACAGTGGGCAGCTGAACTGCCTGCATTTAGTTTCTGGCTCTGCTGCCCCTAAAGGTGGCTTCGCCTCTGCAAGGCTCGTCGTCTTAAGCTGTAACTCAGGGCTCACAAGGCTGCTGAGGGATAAAATGGGATAATCCACAGAAAGCCACCAGATAGGTGAGCAACAAATGGTGGCTGTGGTTATTTCCTGATCTCATGCTTACTGCTGTGTGGCCTTGGCAAGTGAGTGGATGCCTTTAGGAGATAGAGGTGATAACTCCAGCTGCCCTACAGGTTGCTGTAAAGGTGCGCATGGTCACAGAAGCAGGTCCCTCACGCTTGTGAGGCTTTATGGTTCCCATCACTCTTCACATCTGTGGTCCCACTGTCCTCAGGCAACCCAAGGAGGAAAGCAGAGGACTAGGATCATTCCCATGTTGCAGATGTGGACACTGAGGCCCAGAGCAGGGAAGTGGCTCTTCCAAGACCACACAACTAATTAGCAATAAGCCTCTTGGTCCCCATCCTTGTGTCTTTTCAACCCAGGGGACAGATATGGGAGAAAGCCTTTACAAACCCCAGTGTGCCCCACGCATGTACAGGCGGCTATGTCAGCCCATCTGTTCCCCACAGTGGCCCTGACCCTCTGTTCTACAGCATTCACCACACAGACCCCATTCTTCCTTTGCATCGACAGCTTCCCTGCCCACCCGTTTACAGCTGTGTGTCCTCTTCACAGGTCATCCGAGAAGTGAGCAAGCCAGTTGGGGGAGCCGAGGGAGTGGAGGTGCCCAGATCCCCAGTCCTCCTGTGCAGGTTGGACCCGGACAAGGTATATCTGTCTCCACTAGGTCTTCCCTAGGCCAGGCAGTGGCCACTCAACACAGGCTCAACCCCAGGGGAACTCACTGGCTGGGGGGAAAGCCGGGCAACTGCCAAACTGTAGGTGCCCAGCACAGAGCTGGCACAACAGTAGGTGCTTAATAAATGTCTCCTGAATTCATGAATGCATGAACAAACGAGTGCCTGTGCCCAAAGTGCAACACAAACCAGAGGAGGGAGTGACGCACCTGCCAGGACGGGAGGAGGTCACGTTGCAATCGTGCCATGAAAAATAAGTTGAAATTTGTCAATTAGAAAAGGAGGGTGTATAATCCCAGCACTTTGGGAGGCCAAGGCGGGCACATCACTTGAGCCCAGGAGTTCAAGACCAGCCTGGACAACACAGTGAGACCTCATCTCTAAAACACAAAAATTACAAAACTATTATCCAGGTGTGGTGGCACGTGCCTGTAGTCCCCACTACTCAGGAGGCTAAGGTAGGAGAATTGCTTGAGCCTGGCAGATGGAGGCTGCAGTGAGCCATGATCGCGCCACTGCACTCCAGCCTGGGCAACAGAGTGAGACCCTGTCTCAGAAAAAAAGAAAGAAAAGAGAGAGAGAAAGAAGAAAGAGAAGGAGGGTGCCTGTCTGGAACATGAGAGAAGCAGGCATTAGCCAGTTGGTCAGGCTGTTGGCAAATATGTCCCAGTACCTACACATTGCCAGGTATTGTGGGTAACAAAGGGCCTTGGACCCAAGTCCTCCCCTTAAGGACATTACAGTCGAGGGGAAGGGTTAAGACCCACAGACACGGACCTTGCATGATGTAATCAAGGCTTGTATTTATAGACTGTGACTGCATGCCCTGCAGTGTACTAAACGCTTTACGTGTATTAACTGAGGTGATTTTCATAAGAACTCTTTGGGTAGGTACATTTTCAGAGGAGAAAGCTAAGACAGAGATTTGCCCAAGGTCACATAGTAAATAAGAACCATAGCCAGGATTTGAACCCAGATGGTCTAGTTCTTGATGACCATGTTGCCCCTCCTCTCAAGGTCAGGATCCTGGGCACCTGCTTGACAGGTACTCGGTGAGTACCCAGGGCACCCCAGGAACTGTGCTAGCCATTGAAATGCAGTCCAAACACAAACAGATGCAAGCCCTGCCCTCACAGCATTTCCAGCCCAGTAGGAAGTAGACGTGAATCAAACAGTCACACGGACTTATAAATGCCAAGCTGTGTAAATGCTAGGAGGGAAAAGTACCAGGTACCCTAGGGCCCTGCCTCTGCCTCAGCGCCCCAAGAAGGCTTCTCTGAGGAAGTGATATTTCAAATGAAGATGAAAAATTAGCAGGGAAGAGGAGGGAAAAGGCACTCTAAGCAGAGGGAAAAGGTGCAGGAGCAGGAAGAAGCATGGAAGTGAAAACGCCAGTATGGCTAAGCTCAGAGAGAAAGGAGAGCCCACCAGCCTGTTAGAGTATCGCAGAAAGCTACAGTGAGTGGAACAGGGGCCCACACTGGCTGGAAGGATGAGAAGGGTAAGGGAAGATGGGCGCCTATATTGAGCCTTAAGGCATAGGCGAGATTTCACTGAGGCAAAGGTGGGCCGAGGGGAGGGAACAGAAGCAAAGGTATGGGATCAGGCAGAGTCACCAGGAGTGGAAGATGTGCCCAGGTGGATGCAGGAGGAGAAGCTCAACCCTATCCTCACTTAGCCTTTGCCATGCGTGAGGCCAGAGGGAAAGCAGCGTTGACGGTGTCAGTGTGTGAGTGTGTGTGTGCACACACTTGCCAGCGCATGCTGTGGTGCAGTTTGAAGGATGTGTAGAGAGGAAGAAGAGGCAAGCTGGTAGAGTTGAGATTTCCTGTGGCTGAGCGTCCACAGGGAGGGTAACTAGGATGTTGGGGGTGGTATTTTGGGTGGAGAGTGAGGGTGAGGACGTGATATTGGTAGGTCTCTTCTCCACAGAATCACGTGATTGCAGCGTCACCATCGAGTTCATTCCAAAGTGCTCACGGTACCTCTTTGTATTTGCTCTATCTTGATGAAAAATGTACCATCTGTACACCATTGCCGAACACATGGAGCCATAGCTTCTGTTTCACCATTTGAAGAGGTGATTCTTCATACTCGACAGTCCTGTCCCCTTTCTGACAGCTGTCATGTTTCCAGCCCTTTGGACATTGAGAGGTGCCCATGATCGCCTGTCCTCTCCGTCCCCCGTTGCTTATGGTGAAGCAGCCCTGAGCCTGGTTTGAGAGGATCTTGGCAGGAAAGGCTTTGGGGCCTCAGAGCTCTGTAATTCCACCTTCTTAAGTGGGTGGATGTCATTTAATCCTGGCCCAAGTGTGGCTGGCACAGTTTAGCTCCTTGAAGAAAGATGGCAGCACACCACACAGGTGTTAGAAATGATACAGTCCGTGGGCCATCACTTGGGCTGGCTCCCTCACAGCAGCCCTCTGAAGTGGGTGGAATTCAAGTGAGAAAACCCAGCCTTGGGGAGACAGAAGCACTTTCCCACATTCCCATAGCTAATAAGTGGTAAGAGAGTCATCATTACTTCCACTCTACATCCCATGGTACCTAGTAGACACTTAATGGACCTTGTATGAATGAATCGATGAATGGTCTAGAGTTGGTGTCACGAGTAAAACTAATTTGGGCTGGAAATGAAATTGTTGACATGTTGTGTGTGCGTGTGTGGGTGTGTGTCCCCTTCCCATCCTCTTCTCCGAGTTAGGATCATAATGGACTCCTGCTGGTCACCAGGTCCCACCATGACTATTTTGAAAATGTCTGCCAGCTCATCTGTTTTTCCCCATCCTCACTGTCATCTTGGTTCATGATCTTGTTGAGTCTCATCATGACCAGGATGACACTCTCTTAAGTGGCTCTTTTGCTTCCAGTCTTGTCCCCTCTTTTCTATCCCCACAATGCCACTGGAAGTAACTTCCTAAACCAATTTGGATTACATTAGTGTTCCACTTAAATACTTTCCCAGCTCCCTGTCACCTGCCAAATACAGTCCAAATTCCTAAGACATTCATTTCAAAGTGTTATAATTAATTGCCTCCCTCCCCAAAGGGACTGTGAATTGCCCAAAGACATAACCATATCTAAGTCATGGTTGTCTTTCCACTACCTGGTATGGTATCAGGCACAGGATAATTGCTGACAAACATTTGTTAACTAATTATCATGTGCTAGGGGAGTTGGAGGGAGATCGAACCAATAAAGGGAAATTTGGGTACCTCCGAATGTGCCCTCTGATGGGGGACTGTCTGTGTCCCTCCTCAGAGGCTGTCCCAAGAGAAGCAGACCTCAGATTCTGACAGCGTTGGCATGGGCGACAACTGTTCTACCCTTGGCCGCCGGGAGACCTGTGATCACGGTAGGAGCCTCTGGGGGCTCAGGCTGGGGAATGCTGGAACTGGGCAGGGCCCTGCCCATGGGCACACAGCGGCAGAGTAGGTTCTGATCATTCTGGAGACCTGGGTAAGGTGACCTGGCCTGCCGTCCCTGGAGCTGCAGGCCCATCCTGTGTGCAGGCTGAAAAGGCCACAGGGAAGACATAGGATGGGTGAGACTCAGGGCTCCCTCCACTCCCCTGACCCATTTCCCCAACAGGCAAAGGGAAGAAGAGCAGCCTGGCAGAACTGAAGGGCTCAATGAGCAGGGCCGCAGGCCGCAAGATCACCCGTATCATCAACTTTTCCAAGAAGAAGCCACTGGCCGATGACCTGCAGACGTCCTCCACCGAGGAGGAGGTTCCCTGCTGTGGTGGGTCCAGGGCACGGGGATGAAGGGTGTTCAGGTCCTGTGGGCGCGGGCTTCTGGGGCTGAGGCCAGGAGACCTCATGCCTCATCCACCTCACTCCCAGGGCAGGGGAGGGGATCCCAGCCTACTGGGAGGCTAAGCCCCACTCCATTAACACTCTAGGCTTTCCCATCACTTCTCTTTCCAGAGGCCCTGACACTCAACCAAAGGAAAAGCCAGCTGACCACTGTATTTCTATGCTCCCTGTGACCTTAGTCCAAATCACCGCCCATCTCTGGGCCTCAGTTTCTCAGTTTCCTCCATGATAACAAGACAGGGGTATCTCATTTCCCAGCATAGAGCGTGCCAGGTGTATAAGTAACAACCCATATTATAGGGAAATTTATTGGAGAAAAATATTTAGGTACTTTTTATTATAAATGCATTCAATGTGAATTAAAAGTGATTTGAAGGGGAAAACATTATTCTGCTCATGTAAATGTAGTGTTCCATGTACTGGAATCCAATTTTTAAAAATCATATATTTTGGATATGCAGTAATATTCTAACCCTGAAAAAAATATTATAAAAGTACATGGCAAGACCAGGTGCAGTGGCTCACCTCTGTAATCCCAGCACTTTGGGAGGCCGAGGCGGGAGGATCGCTTGAGCCCTGGAGTTTGAGTCCAGCCTGGGTAACATGGTGAAACCCTGTCTATACCAAAAATACAAAAATTAGCCAAGCATGGTGGTGTATGCCTGTAATCCCAGCTACTTGGGAGGCTGAGGTGGGAGGATCACTTGAGCCATGATAGAGACACCATACTCCAGCTTGGGTGACAGAGGGAGACCCAGTCTCAAAAAATAAATACATAAATAAATATATGGTTACAAAGAAATATTTTGTAATCAGTGAATCAGAGTGCATCATGGTAAAAATAAACAAATTTAAATCTAAAACATTAAGAGGGAATTCTAAACCTGTGGGTCATTAGCTACATAGCAGCTGTGCCTTGGTCAATTTTTGGATTATGTAGGCGAGACATTTTTGTTCCCACACGCTGCCACTGGGTGTCAGCATCATCCATTATTTTCCGTCTTTCAGGAAGTTTTGATTTGGGGAGAAAAGGCAAAAGAGTTGTGTTTTTTATATCATACGCAGTAGTTGCTGCCCTTTTCATCAAGCTTGGTGTGACCCAAAGGCTGTGCAGACATGTACGAATGCCATTATCAGTCCTTGTTTCACAGGTAAGAAATAAACTCAGAAAAGCATGCCCAAGGTCACCCTGAGGTCACAGGGGAGAGAAAGCTAACCAGGACCCTGAGGTCTTCTTTCCAGCAGACACAAGGAGCCACCTTGCATCCCCATGCTGTCCCGGGGCAGGCTGTGGGAACCTCACACCACTGTCTCCTCCAGGCTACCTGAACGTGCTGGTGAACCAGGGCTGGAAGGAACGCTGGTGCCGCCTGAAGTGCAACACTCTGTATTTCCACAAGGACCACACGGACCTGCAAACCCACGTAAACGCCATCGTCCTGCAAGGCTGTGAGGTGGCCCCGGGCTTTGGGCCCCGACACCCGTTTGCCTTCAGGATCCTGCGCAACCGGCAGGAGGTGGCCATCTTGGAGGTGAGAGGAGAGGGTGGGATGCGGGTGGTGCTTGGTCTGGGGACTCTGGTCTGAGTGTTGTGTTTTTGTTTGGGGGAGCCCTTGCTGCTGACACCATGGGGACTGAAGGGGAAGGAAAACAAGCCCCACTCCTGTCAGGTGACCCAAGTAGGATTATAAGACAACATGCAGGACACCCACTTAATTTTAATTTCAGGTAAGCCATGAACATTACCCGGAACGTTTTCATAAAAATATAGGTATGTGCCACGCAAGATTGGAGCTCTATCGATACTGAACTATTATTGTTCATCTGACATTCAAATTAAACAAAACATTCTGTATTTTTATTCACTAAATCTGGCAGCACCAGAACCAAGGTTCGTTTTTTTCTCCCATACCTTAAAATCCCAAGCCTGAAAGGCATCTAGTCTAGTCTAGCCCATTCAGATTCTGGAATCCCCTCTAAGACCTTTCACCAGTACCCTCCTCTGGTGGAGGAGAAGGTCCATGCCCCTCCCATTGAGCAATTCAAATTTTAGACAGATTTTCCCCATACTGAGTTGAAATCTTTGAGCTCCAGGAAGGCAATAACTAGGCCTATTCTGCATACTTTTGTTTTTCCAGAACTCACCAGGATGTCCTGCACTAGAATACTATGGGCTCTAGAAATATTTGTTGAACAAATGAGTGAATGAAGTATGATTTCATTTCACCGATTCACTGTCCTTACTCACGGGCAGTAGCCTCCTCTCTGAGGCCACGCAGAATACGTGGACTCTCTTCCACATGGCAACCCTTTGGCAATTTAGAATTTTAAATGTTAACACTAGAGGAAAACAGAAAACTAATTTCTCCCATTACAGATAGGAAACTGAGGCCAAGGCAGCCATGTGCTTTATCCAGGGGTCCACCAGTGGTCTCTTGGTCTTGTCCTAGAACCTGACCTCTTGGTCTTGTTTTCTGCCCAAGACCCACTGCCTCTCTCAGTTCTTAAATCTCAAAGAATATCTTCTCTATAACTCACTTTTATTTTTGGTAGTTTGAGATAGGTCTCTTATTTCTCTTATACATGAGCAAAAAATGTGCTTTATTTATTCAAGTTTAGTATTTGTGTGCTAATTTAATTTTATAAGATGCTCTTTAAATGAGAATTAACATAAGTCCACGTTTAGTTGACTGGCAACTTCTTGGAGATTTTCCTATATACAGTATTGTAATTATTTGGCAATTATAACACAAGAAAAAATTTTGATTGAGTTATATGAGAAATGACCTCTTCTAATAAAAAATAAATAGTTTTTAAAAATTCAGAGAACACCCAAATGTTGGTTTTATATCCTAATGGTTGGGGAAGGCTCTGAGAATGGAAAGTGAGGATAGGGAGGCCTCTGTCTTAGAGAGGTCATCAGGGAGGGCCTCTCTGAGGAGGTGACATTTGAATGGAAACCTGAATAGATGGAAGAAGGGAGCCTCTTGGATTTCTGGATGTGTGCTGTAATCTTATTCCTCTTTGACCCCTGAGTATCGGGTACATAGTCAGTACTTACAAATATTTCTGGGTTTGGCTGAAGTCAATAGGTCTCCAGAAGCTCTGACAGTAGGAAAATGAACTCTACCTTTGCCTCCTGTCCTTCAGGCAAGCTGTTCAGAGGACATGGGTCGCTGGCTCGGGCTGCTGCTGGTGGAGATGGGCTCCAGAGTCACTCCAGAGGCGCTGCACTATGACTACGTGGATGTGGAAACCTTAACCAGCATCGTCAGTGCTGGGCGCAACTCCTTCCTGTAAGTGTCAGCTGCACCGGCCACACCTGCCCAGGACCTTTCCTGTCTCCATCCCTCTCAGAGGCTGAGTACAGCCCTGGGCACTGGGAGGGAAGGGAGGAGCTAAGGAAAGCTCTGCTTCCTTGGGAAGTTGGAATGGGTGTCTTCCTCTTACAGCAAAGAGTGGGGAGCTGGCTGAAGGAGGTAGCCCAGGGTCAGAGGCAAGCTGTGGATGGAAGGAGCAAAAGTAGAGAAGCCTTGAAGTAGTGGCCTGGGTTCTGCCCTCATGCCACGGGACTTTAAGCTTTCACACACTTGATCATGAGCACATGGCTAGTATATGGCATTCAGGTACTAGAAGAGCCAGGTTCGAGTCCCAGCTTGGTCACCACCAGCAGTGGAAGCTTGCACTGCTTGCTTGCCATCTCAGATCTCTGTTTTCTGACTCATAGAATGGTGGTGATGAATTACCAGCCTTGCAGGTTGTTATGAGAATCACATTGGTCCTGTCTGTGACACCCTAACACAGCCCATGACACAGTGCTTCCTGCCATCTTGCTTTTACTAATCTTCTGACCTGCCTTAAGAGTTTCTGCCAGAATCAGTGAGAGTGGTAGACAGGAAAACACTGTAAGTCGAAAAGCATCATTGTCATTGTCATTGTCATTGTCATTGTCGTTGTACCTTTTATTTTCTAGATATGCAAGATCCTGCCAGAATCAGTGGCCTGAGCCCCGAGTTTATGATGATGTTCCTTATGAAAAGATGCAGGTACAGTCCCTTGGGGCTGCCCAGGAATGTGACAAAGGCCACTTATTAGCTCTCCCTCTTTCTGCTCTCTTTACCTTCTCCTCAGAGAGATCATTTTCATTTAAGCAGCAGTAGCTAGAAGGGGAGCCCCTTCTTATCATAGAGCATGGCTCAGGACGAGGAATCCCTGGCACAGGAGGCTGGGTGGTGCAGTGGAAAGAGACCCAGGTTGGGAGGAAGAAAGGGCTCTGTAAACTGCCAAGCACTACCAAAAGGTGAGTCATCGTCTCCAGTTTGAGCAAGATGCTGGGTCCTGTTTACCGCTCTGTGAACTTATCCTCCTGATTCTGTGGTGTCTGGGGCCGGTGCTGACTCTGGGGCCAACCTGCAAGCCTTCACCTAGTGACTTCGTGATCTGGGAGCTTCAGCTCCCAGGCCAGTCTCCATGTTTTGCTTGCTAAGCCAGGGAGATGCCAACTTACTAATTTACAGTGAGGCCTGAGTAGCCATCACATGACCTGGAATGCTCCTGGCAGCATGCCCTGTGCTGTCTCCTCCCTCAGAAAGCAAGAGGAGAGCCACATTCCAACCAGACGCTGGTGGGTGGGTCAGGCCTCACCATTAGCAGGAGAGAGAGGCAATTAAGCTGTGTCTGCAGATGTGTCTGCGGACAGGACCTCTGCCTTGGATGGTGCTCGATGACACACTGAGTTTTCACCTCTAGGACTCCCTTTTCTGGAAATTTCTCCAGTCATCCTTCTGTTCATATGATCTTTCTTCAGACTCAGATAAACCTGTGGATGCCGCTTGAGGTTTTTCTCAGTTGCAGAGTTTAGTGGCAAGATAGCTTAGCACTTAAGGATGTGAAGTTTGAGTCAGACTCAGGGCTGCTGGTCTTCGCTTCCTGACTCCAAAAGGATATGATAAAACCTACCTTCTTGGATGGCTGCAAGAATTAAATAATACTTTATGTAAGAAAGTTTAGGCAAGGTCTGGGTGCCATGGCTCATGCCTATAATCCTGGTACTTTGGGAGGCTGAGGTGGGTGGATCACTTGAGGCCAGGAGCTCGAGTCCAGCCTGACCAACATGGCAAAACCTCGTCTCTACTTAAAAACTACAAAAATTAGCCAGACATAGTGGCACATGCCTGTGGTCCCAGCTACTTGGGAGGCTGAGGCAGGAAGATTGCTTGAACCCAGGAGGTGGAGGTTGCAGTGAGCCAACTATCCATGAGGCCACTGAACTCCAGCCTGGGCAACAGAGCGAGACTCTGTCTCAAAAAAAAAAAAAAAAAAAAAAAAAAAAAGTGTAGGCTGGGCACAGTGGTGGCTCACACCTGTAATCCTAGCACTTAGGGAAGCTGAGGTGGTGGATCACTTAAGCCCAGGAGTTTGGAGACCAGCCTGGCCAACATGGCAAAACCCTGTCACTACAAAAATTAGCCGGGCATGGTGGGTGGCGCACCTGTTGTCCCAGCTACTCAGGAGGCTGAGGTGGGGGATCGCTTGAGTCCAGGAGGTTGAGGCTGCAGTGAGCCATGATCACACCACTGCACTCAAAAAGAAGAAATTAGCACAGTGCTAGATATTGGAAGTTCTTATACAGCAGAGTAAATAGTACTGTTGTTGACAATATCATTATTATATTACATTATTATCATATTTAACTCATGGTTTCCTAAGCTTTCACTGGATTTTTAGTATTCTTAATATTCTTCATGCACAAATGTATAGTTAATCTATTAAGTTATGTCACTTCTATCACTGGCTCATCTCATCCAGGACTTTTCTTCTTGAGGGAAGACTCTTTTCTTTTTGAGGCAATTCAGAAAATCAGGATACTTCCAAATGTTCTAAAGACAAAAATATCTATGATAAATCAAATATAGCCACCCACAGTCTTTTCAGATTTTCTAATTTTCGTCTCAGCAGGTACTACAGTTTAGGATTGCCTTCTGCTGCCCCCAGCAGAAAAGTATGAGGTTCAAATGATACACTGCTAGCAAAAGTGCTTTATGATTTTTGAGTGCTGTGCAAGTCTAAAAATGTAAGACCAAAATCTCAGAGCAAGAAGACCCCATACTGAGCAAAGACGGTAGTACAGCCTGCATTGATGAGTCTGCACCTGCCTGAACTTGACTGTCTTCCTCCATCTCCCACCAGGACGAGGAGCCCGAGCGCCCCACAGGGGCCCAGGTGAAGCGTCACGCCTCCTCCTGCAGTGAGAAGTCCCATCGGGTGGATCCGCAGGTCAAAGTCAAACGCCATGCCTCCAGTGAGTTGTGTGTGGGCCTCCCCTGCTGACTAGGGAGGAAGGGAAGGAAGCAGTCTATAGGAGGGATCTCAAAATCAGTTCCTCTGGTGGGTAAATAAATGAGCAAAGTGAGATGCAAGAAAATACTCTACCCTAAGAAAAATTACAGAGCAAGCACAATGAAAAAGGGCAGCTAGCATGTGGCCTCAGAGGAAAAATGACAGGGAGTTGGGGGGTGGGGAGGTACTATAGGAAACTGATACCCAGTCTCCTTAGGTCCCAACTATAGGGGAGGCTGCTGCTCAGCTCCAGCAGACGATCCCCAGGAAGCAGTACCAGGCCCCTAACACCAGATTTGCTAATTACTTAAAAGAGACCAGAAATCTAGACTTTAGGTGAAATCTGCTTATTTTTTAATATCAGCAACTATTTTTTTTTTTTTATTTAGCACTGAATGAGGCCAAAGAGAGAGAGAGAGAGAGAGAGACTGTTGACAAGCTGTATCTGTTTCAGAGGCTAACAATTTGTGATTTCTGATCTGGGGTAGTAAGTGGAGAACTGAACCCATCCGAATACCCTGGAGCCAGTGCTGTGAAAGCCACAGCTCACCTTGGTGTCCTGCCCTAGCTCTGCCTAGCACCCCACAGGAGCTCAGTGAATTGCCTGATTGCCACACTGCACAGTAATGTGGATAACTAAGTATGCCAGGCAACTCTGTTGTAAATTCTGTTTTACTTCCAACAGTAATCTGTGCTCCTGTGTGATTTCTCTTTATGAAGAAGCCAGCTTCCTGTGGGACAGCACGTTCCAAAAGTTTTTTCTTTGTTCCTTTACATTTATTCCCCCTGCATCTCAACAGAGTCAAGTTCTGTTCTGTGCTTTTTGTAAACTTACTTTTATATTTTAATACCTATTTTTAAAAACACTTTTCTATATTATGGCTCCATTTCATTTGTATAGATCATCCCTTCTGAGGGTCAGGAAATCTGTATTCCATTCCTCATTCCTCCCTTGACTACTGAATTACTGTGTACCTCTGGGAAAAGTCCTTTCCCCTCTCTGGGCCTGAGTTTCCTCTCTGAACAATCAGAAGGTTGTTGTGTAACTTTGCACTCTACTCTTAGAGATACTGGAAATGCAGGGCCTTGTGAAATGCCCATTTAAAAATGGAAATCTAAACTGAAAAAAGCATGTAAGATTAAAGAAATCACCGAATGTCAATGACAACAACAAAAAACTAACAAACATACACAAAAAAGTAGACCCTTTCTTCAGATCAAATCTCATATGAAAGCCAAGTTTATAAAATAAAATAAAAGTGGAGCTACTCTGGTTAAGGCCCACTTGGACTCCACTTCTCCTGTTAGCCATCACCGTGGGGTCATACGGTTCCTTGAAGGGCAGTGGGAAACCACGGTGGAAGACTGCTAATGAATTCCAACAAGGTTGTTTTTTAGATGAAGAAACTGAAGAAAATAAAAGAGAAGATATCTTAATCCATTTCTCTTGCTATAACAAAATCCCATAAGCTAGGTAACTTATAAATAACAGAAATTTATTTCTCATTGTTCTGGAGGCTGGGAAGTCTGAGATCAAGGTGGCAGCCAATTTGGTGTCTGGTGAGGGCCTGTTTCCTGGTGATGACCATCTTTTTGCTCCCTGGGGTCTCTTTCCCAAGGGCACTAATCCCACCCATGAGGGCTCCACCCTGGTGACCTAATCACCTACCAAAGGCCCCACCTCCAAGTGCCATCACATAGGCGATTAGGTTTCAACGTATGAATTTTGGGGTATGTAAACATCTAGTCTATAGCCAAAGGATTTTGCCCACGATCATGTATTAATTGCCTATTGCTACATAAGAAATTACCCAAAATTTAGCTCCTCTAAACAATAAGCAGGAACATGTGTCATGTCACATGGTTTCTGTAGATCAGGAATCCTAAATGGTTTGGATAGGTAGTTCTGGCTTGGGGTCTCTCATGAGATCTCAAGATGTTGGCTGGTCATCTGAAGTCATCCAAAGTCTTGACAGGCTGAAGGATCCACTTCTAAGATGACTCACTGCATGCCTGGCAAGTTTGTGCTAGGTGTTGGAAGGAGGCCTCAGTTCTTTGCCATGGGGATCTCTTCATAGAGTTGCTTGTCCTTGTGATGTGACAGCTGGCTTCCCCCAGAGCAAGCAACCCAAGAAGGAACAGCAAGGCTGATGCTGCAAGGTCTTTTATGACCTATGGTTAGAAGTTACACTCTGTCATTCTGCAATATCCTAATGGTTACGCAGGTCAGCACTGTTTAGTGTGGGAGGGGACTGTGAAAGGGCATGAATATTAGGAAGCAAGAATCATGGAGGCCAAGTAGATTGCTGAGAAAAATGGTGGTGTGAGAAGCTGCATGGACCCACTCCCTAGCAAAACAGCTGTAGCTGGTAAAATTTATTAAAACAAACAATTATTTAAAGTCTGGAAATTTTCCTGAGGGCAAATGAAGAAACATTTATTCTAGAAAATTTGCTAAATCTTAGTAAGAACAGTGAGAGTTTGTGGCATTTGAGGCACAGCCTACCCCTTTATTCCCCAACTCAGTTTGAAAGAATCTTCACTCCAGGCACATCTGTACAAGAAAACAGGGCTCCTTCTTTCCCCAGCTGCCAGTGAAGGGCTACAGTATCTCCCCCGGAAGGGCAGGCTGCCAGTATTTTTTGTCATACCCAGCTCCATGCTGCAGAGGCTAAATTCCAGGTGATTGCAGCCAAGAGGGAGGAAGCGCCCTTCCTCTACCCAGATGATAGATCAAAGGCTTTGCCCCAGGTAGGGTAAGCCAAGAATACTGGGGCCCTGATTGCCCTCATCCCAGCTCACTTGTAGGGCAGAGGTTGCATGCTGGGAGAGACAAGCAGAGTAGACCGGAGGTTACTGCCCCCACCCAGCACCCTGCTCATAACAGGAATGTCACTCCAAGAGAAATAGGCTCTTAATTTGTTTTGTGCTGCTATAACAGAATACCAGAGACTGGGTAATTTATAATGAACAGAAATTATTAGCTCCTGGTCTAGAGGCTGGAAAAATCCAAGATCAAGCTGTTGACCTCTAGCAAGGGCCTTCTTGCTGCATCATCACATGGAAGAAAACAGAAGGGCAAAGTGGCAAAAGGGGGTTGAATTTGCCCTTTTTTAACGGCATTAATCCCACCCATGAAGGCAAAGCCCTCATGGCCTAAATCACCTCTCAAAGTCCTATCTTTTCATACTGTTACAATTGCAATTAAATTTCAACATGAGTGTTGGAGGGGACGAACATTCAAACAACAGCACAGGCCATTGTTGCCACCCTTGGATCCAGAGCAGTGACTCAGAGATTTTGCCCAGTGGGGAAGGGCAGGCCATAAGAACAGAGCACTCCAAAGCTCTTCCTCAAAAGAATTGACTTTAGTTGGAACAGTGTGGGAAAGTGTAAACCAAAGGGTGCTCTCAAAAACAATGGAGATTTGGTGGTTATGAGAACAATAAACTAAACCACAGGCTAGTTTATCAGAGAGAACCACAGAAAGAGACAGCTAAAAATACCCTCAGCTGGGTGTGATGGCTCACCCCTGTCATTCCAACACTTTGGGAGGCTGAGGCAGGTGGATCACTTGAGGCCAGGAGTTAAAGACCAGCCTAGCCAACATGGCAAAACCCTGTCTCTACTAAAAATACAAAAATTAGCCAGGCATGGTGGCAGGCACCTGTAATCCCAGCTACTCGGGAGGCTGAAGCACAAGAATCACTTGAACCCAAGAGGCAGAGGTTGCAGTGAGCTGTGATCGTGCCACTGCACTCCAGCCTGAGTGACAGAGTGAGACCCTGTCGCAAAAAAAGAAAAAAAAAATTTTTTTTAAAGAAATTGTTTTAAATAAAAAGAGCCCTGCTAGGGTTAGAATAAATCTCAAAGATGAGCTTCCACAACTATCCTATAAAGGGGCTGAATTTAATTGGATCAGACTGTGGAGTAATTTATGCATTGTCAAAATCAATAGAGCAAACCCCTGACAATTAGTAGAGCCTAACAGCTGGGTGTAATAGCAACAGAGGCAGACTGCTTAACAGGAGATTAGGGAAAGAGTCAGAAATCCCTGCTAATACGCTGTCACCCCAGAGTGACTGTACACATGCCAAGGCTATGGCCTCTGAGGAGCAACATCAGTGCCTTCATACTTCCAAGAGGAAGTAGACTACACTAAAATAGTTCAGACAAGTCACTAAACAAATAAGAAAGTAACCCAACAACCCAGTTGGGGGGATGCATATCAAAAGATACTATAATATATTCTCTAAAATGACCAGTTTTCAACAAAAAATTATGAGACGCACGAAGAAGCAGGAAAATGTGACCCATACAGAGGGGAAAAAAATCAAGCCATAGAAACTGCCTGAGAGAGGGCCCAAATGTAGAATTTAACAAAGATTTCAAAGCAGCCATTATGAATTATTTAAAGAACTTAAGGAAACCATGCTTAAAGAAATAAAGGAATGGAAGATGACAGTGTATTAAGAGATAGTCTATATTATGAATAGCCTATATTATTGGTAGTCTCTATCAATATATTATTGATAATAGTCCATTCCTCCTGCTATAACAAAATTCCATAAGCTGGGTAACTTATAAACAAAAGAAATGTATTTCTCATTGTTCTGGAGAAATTGGCTTCATACTGCAGGAGGAAATAGACTATGCTGAGTACTACACTACACTATACTGTACACTACAGTATAGGTACATGGAACTACACTATAGTTATATGAAATATAGCTATCCTATATTATACTATACTACATAGTACAGTCACATGGAATATATTATTGATAATATATTGATAGAGGCCTCCAACAGAAAGATAGAAATTAGAAAAGGAAGAACCAAATAAAAATCATGAGGCCAAAAAGTACAATAACTGAAATGAAAAACTCACTCAATGGGCACAACAGTAAATTTGACCTGGTAGAAGAATCAGTGAACTTGATGATAGAAAAATAGAGATTATGCAAACCAAAGAGCAGAGAGGAAAAAAGAATGAAGAAAAATGACAGAGCCTCAGAGCATTGTGGAACACCATTAAGTGCGCAAACGTGTACAGGGAGCACTAGAAGGAGAAGAGAGAGAGATGAGCATAAAAAATATTCAAATAATGGCTGAAACTTGCCAAATTTATTGAAAAACATTAATCTATACATCCACGAAGCTCAGTGAAATCCAAGTAAGATAAAGGCAAGGAGATCTACAAAAGATACATCATGGTAAAAATGCTTATACCAAAGACAAGGAAAAAATGTTGAAGGCAGAAGAGAAAATCAAGCCATCATGTATAAGAGAATCCCAGTAACATTAACAGCTGACTTCTCATCAGTAACAATGAAAGCCAGAAGGCCCTCCATGCTGTATTTATAATCACGCTTGAACTGCAGGGTAGTTGTGTCAGGAACTGATTTTCGCATGGGTCACTGGGTGACCACTGCAATCCCTACAGCAGCTGGCTAGACAAGACCCCCAATTATCATAAACTGCAGGAATTATTCTGCACCAACTTATATAAAGCAGCGTGCAGTTCTGTATAGCGCGCGCGTGCACACACACACACACACACACACACACACAAGTAAAACTTTCCCCAAGAGGTTGAACTATGGCCTTGAACCAGCTAGAGCAGTATTGCACAGCATGGACCCTGGAGTCAGAAAGACATGGAGACATGGGTTTAACCTTGGCTCTGCCACCATTAGCAGTGGGACTTAACTGCTGTGTACCTCAGTTTCCTCAACAATAGAAGAAAACTAATTATAGTATAAGTTTTGTGGGCTGGGCACAGTGGCTCACTCCTGTAATCCCAGCACTTTGGGAGGCTGAGGCAGGCTGATCACTTGAGGTCAGGAGTTCGAGAACAGCCTGACCAACATGGTGAAACCCCATCTCTACTAAAAATACAAAAATTAGCTGGGCATGGTGGCATGCACCTGTAGTCCCAGCTACTCTACTTGGGAGGTTGAGGCAGGAGAATCACTTGAACCCCAGAGGTGGAGGTTGCAGTGAGCCGAGATCACGCCACTGCACTCCAGCCTGGGTGACAGAGCAAGACTCTGTCTCAAAAAAATCAATTAAAAAAATAACTTTCATGATGACTAAGTGGGAATGCAAGTAAATGGCTCAGCATATAGTGCCTAGTGTATAGTAAATAATACATTTTTGCCATAATTATTTGTTTTTATTGTCCATCATAGTGTTGAACCTACAGTAGACCACCAGGTCCCTCCCTCCCCCAACCCCTTCCCCAGTAATAAAATGGATAACTGACTGTAGCTCAAAGTCTAGAATCTCTGGAGATCTGAGTTATACGGAACGGTCTCCTTGTCTTATAGATATCTGAAAACTGACTATAAAACTTGTTCTTTTAAAACCAAAGTATGTTCTACATCACAAATTTGTTTTTAATAATATTATCATTATTACCTAACCCTTACTATTTGCCTACTATACTAAGTGCTTTTCATTAATCATCTCATTCAACCCTTACCACAACTCTATGAGGTAAATTGTATCCATATCCTTGTTTACAAATAAGGAAACTAAGGTCAAGGGGGAAAGGCACAGTAAAACACTACCAGTCTCTTTTGCCTAATGTCACACAACCAGGAAGGTCAAAAATGCCCAAATCTCAGGCTGTCTGTTCCAAGGCCTTGCTCCTAGTCCCTGTGCCCTATGGCCTCCCTTTTGCTTCTTAATTCCTTAGAGGATTCACACTAAATATATCTAAGGGACTTGGTCTAAATATTTCCATTTTATAGATGGAGAACTTGGGGCTGAGAGAGAAGCTGACACCACCCAAGTACCTTTGCCAGAGGTCAGAACTGAGGGCCTTTCCCTTCCCCACATCTCTACAGGTGCCAATCAATACAAGTATGGCAAGAACCGAGCAGAGGAGGATGCCCGGAGGTACTTGGTAGAAAAAGAGAAGCTGGAGAAAGAGAAAGAGACGATTCGGACAGAGCTGATAGCACTGAGACAGGAGAAGAGGGAACTGAAAGAAGCCATTCGGAGCAGCCCAGGTACCTATGTGATTGTGGTCCTGAGCACCTATGGGTGGCCAGCTCATCCTTGGGCACAGTAAAGGGAGGTCTCTTGCACAAGTCACCTTGTTTCCAACCCAAGAAAAGTGGGCTTCTCCTCCCCTTCACCTTCTCCTCCTCATCCTCTTCTCCTCTTCATCATTATCATCATCATTCCTCCCAATTAAAGAAAGTGTCATCAATTTAATAACTTGTTTTGGAGGGATGAAAAAGCATCACAATAATGTATACATTTAATATAGTAAGCAGCAATCTGATTTTAGAAATGTGAAGCATAGAAGTGTGCCTTAGAATCAAAGAAATAAGAGATGTCATTTTGAACTTCACCTTTATTCATTCACAGATATATGTGAGACATTGGTCCTAGTGCAGGGAATAATGGACATGATGCTTTCCCAGGATCCTCTTCTGAAACCAGGGACCTCAGCAGGCCCTGCCTGCTCTGGGCTTCTCCACACCCTATTTTCTGCTGTGTTTCCTTTGCATTCTAACTGCAGTTCAACACACTTTAAGCCTAAGGTTTCTCCACGTGCCGGAGGGAGCAGAAGTCCTGTTGCTATAGAACATGTCCACAAACATGTAGCCCTATGAGAATCTGGTGGACCTATGGACCCTTTTCTAAGAAGAAACACCACAGTTCACAATGCTGCAAAAAAAAAGTTCAGGAGCTCATGTGGCTGCCTCTGGAGCCTATCCATAGATTGCCTAAGACTCCATGAACCTCAGATTAAGAACTTCTGGTTTAAAGGAGAAGACTTGTTCTGTGTGGCCAAGAACCAGAATCAACAGGAGGAAGGCACAGGAAGACAGTTTGGTTTCCATATAAAGAATTTTCTGAGAGTCAGAACCAGGATTTGGAGCAAGTTGACTATCCTTGTCCTGCTCAATTTTTTCCCCTATGGCACTATCACTTGGTAACATATCAGATTATTTATTATATTTATTATTTATTGTTTGCCACAGACACACAAATGTAAGCACCATAAGGGCAAGGATCTTTGCCTGCTTTGTTCACTGATACATCTAGGGCCGAGGACAATGCCTGATACATGGTAAGCACGCATTAAATACATGGTGAATGATGAATATAAATAATTCAACATTACTGGAAAACCCTCCAGCACAGCCTCCCTCAGGGCAAAGAATGGAACTGATTTTTAAACCTGGTAAGACCCAACACAGCACTTGGCATGAGAAAGGTACTAATATAGGTTTGTTAGATTAAATTGAAAAAGTGAGCTGGGTGCCATGGTTCACGCCTGTAATCCTAGCACTTTGGGAAACTGAGGCAGGAGGACTGTTTGAGTGCAGGAGTTCGACACCAGCCTGAGCAACATAATGAGACTTCATGTCTATTTTTCTGTGTCTGTAAAGCCCTGCTATGACACTTGTTTACAAGTAACAGAAACCAAAGCTAAACTGGCAGAGAAATGAAAAGAAGATGTAATTGGAAAATTCAGTGATCTGGTGTAGTGGGGTCCAGGGACTTAAATGATGTCACCAGGAAGCTTATTTCTCATACTCATGCTTCTACCCTTCTCTCCTTTGGTTTCATTCTCCCCTTGTGATGCCACAATGGCTGCACAGTGCCAGCCCTCACCCAGCCCTCCCAGCCAACCCAAGCAGAGAGAGCTTCTCCTTCCAGCAACCACCACAAAACCCTCTGGATTCACTCTGATTGGTCCCACTTTCATCCTTCATCCAATCACTGTCACCAGAAGATGAGCTGTGATTATGGGGCAGACCTAAGTTATGTGCCAAACCCTTGAACTAGAAGCAGAGTCAGCCCCACTCAAACTAGAGAGAATGGGGCTAGGGGGGCAGGTGCAGTGGCTCATGCCTGTAATCCCAGCACTTTGGGAGGCCAAGGCTGGTGGATTACTTGAGGTCAGCAATTTGAGACTAGGCTGGCCAATATGGCAAAACCCCATCTCTACTAAATATACAAAAATTAGCTGGGCATGCTGAGGTGTGCCTGTAGTCCCAGCTACTCGGGAGGCTGAGGCAGGAGGATTGCTTGACCCCAGGAGGCAGAGGTTGCAGTGAGCTGAGATCACCCACTGCACTCCAGCCTGGGTGACAGAATGAGACTCCATCTCAAAAAAAAGAAAAAGAGAGAAGAGAGACAGAATGAGAGGGGAAAGGTGGTTTCCCAATGAAAACTCAGAGTGCTATTTCCAGGAGATGGTGAAATGGGTACCAGACATATAAAGACCATAATGAGACCTCATCTCATTATGGAGCTGGAACCCCAGTATGGAACTGGAACCCCAAGCCCAGAGTCCATCTCTTAACCAAGACTGGGGACTGGAAAGGCCCACCAGGAGGGGCAGACAAAGGCATCAGGCCCTGCCAGATTCCCCGACACTTCAGGTCAGGTTCAGCTGTTTCTTATCAATGTATCTTGATTCAGGAGCAAAATTAAAGGCTCTGGAAGAAGCCGTGGCCACCCTGGAAGCTCAGTGTCGGTCAAAGGAGGAGCGCCGGATTGACCTGGAGCTGAAGCTGGTGGCCGTGAAGGAGCGCTTGCAGCAGTCCCTGGCAGGAGGGCCGGCCCTGGGGCTCTCCATGAGCAGCAAGCCCAAGAGTGGGGTGAGTCCAGGGCCTTCCATGCCAGGGGCAGCTACTCCTGTATCCCTCCACACACTGCAGATCTCTCCTTCATGATCACTCTTTGGAAGTAGGGGTTATGCCCATTCACAGACAAGAAAACTGAAGTCCAAAAAGGTGAAGGGCATGCCATGGGTGGCACAGCTAGGAAGAGGACTCTTGGAGCAATTTCTCTTGATTTTCTGGCCTGTTCTTGTCTCCACAGCAGCATCACCATTTGAATTTTTACCCTAAAGGTGATCTTAGAAATGGCCTTGGGGTTATTGATGATAATAGTAGCTACCATATGTTGAATAACAAGCATGTGTGATCCATTACTACAGGCATCTTAACCTGTATTATCTCACACAATCTTCATGGCAGTCCTATGAGGTAGTTTAGGGGTTGACAGACAAGAAAACTAAGGTTCAGAGATGTCGAATGACTTGCTCAAGGTCACTCAGTGAAGTGGGAGACAGGATTCCAAACCCAGGAAGTCTTAACTCCAGAGCCCTGCTCCAAAGCCGTCCAGTGCAACATGGCAAAACCCTGTCTCTACAAAAAAATACAACGGTCTCACATGCCCTCTCCTGGGATCTCCAGGGTACCAGGCCCTGTCCTCAGGGCTCTGTATCCATTATCTCTAATGCTCCCAGTAACTCTGCGAGGAAGATTCACTCACCTCCAATGGGGCTCTCTCAGAGAGAACTTCCCTGACCTCATCTACACCGGGGTTTCTCAACCTCAGCACTACTGACATTTTGGCCCTGTAACTCCTTCTTATAAGGGACTATTCTGTGTATCAGCAGGATGTTAGGGATCTTAAGGTCCTACCTAAGGATATCAAGTAGAATGTTAAGCAGCATCTCTACCTTCTACTCACTGGTTGCTAGTAGCACCCCCCGACCAGTGACAACCAAAATATCTCCAGAAATTGTCAGATGTTCCCTGGGAGAGCAAAACTGACCCTAGTTGGTCTAAATTACCAACAGCTCCCTCTATTATTCTTCCTCATAGCACTTTACCACAATTTGTGTGTATGTGTGTATATATATATTTGTGTCCTTGCTTGTCCAATGTCTGTCTTCTCCACTAGATTCTATTCTTGTTAAGAATTGGACTACATCCATTTATCATTAAATTCCTGACCCTTTACAGAAAAATAGTGGGAGTGCAAGAAATATTTGTCAAATGAATAAATGTTTTGCCTGCTTTCGGGTGAGGAAATTGAGACTTAAAGAGACGAAATAACTTGTCTGATAAGTATGACTTGTCAGGAGGCAATGTGTCATTATTATTGTTGTCCCAGGTCACATTTCCTGGTCACACCACACCTGATTGAGCCAGTGCTGTGTCTTACACCCCTACACTTCCTTTCCATGGGGTGTTTCCAATCTCATTATATAGATGAAAAACATGTCAGCCAAGGACAAAACTTCCCAGAGTCACAGAGGGCTGGTGGAGGAGCTAGCATTGGTTCATTCATCCCAGCTGCTTCCTCCCACCAGCATGACCTGATATTCCCATTCCAGAGCACTTTTCCCTCAGTTTTGGATCCTTTTGACATTCTTTGGAGATAAAGAGAAGCTTTCTCTAAATTCCTTGCAAGTTTAGCTGTTACGATGTCACCCTTAAGGAACTACCTCTAGTAAGGTATTATACTAAGCAATTATCTGGAAAATGTAAGGGGTAAAGGTAATTTCAAAAATGAGAAGGAATACAGGAGAGAGGTTAAAAGTCAGACTGTGGGGCCAGGCAGGGTAACTCATGCCTATAATCCCAGCACTTTGGGAGTCTGAGATGGGCGGATCACTTGAGGCCAGGAGTTTGAAACCATCCTGGCCAACATGGTGAAACCCCATCTCTACTAAAAATACAAAAATTAACTGGGCATGGTGGCACATGTCCCAGCTACTCAGGAGGCTGAGGTAAGAGAATCACTTGAACCTGGGAGGTGGACCTCCAGCCTTGGAAAGAGAGCAAGACTCTGTCTCACACACACACACACACACACACACACACACACAAAAAAAAAGGAAGGAAGGGAGGGAGGGAGGGAGGGAGGGAGAGAGGGAGGGAGGGAGGGAAAAGAACAAAAGAAAAGGAAGGAAGGAAGGAAGGAAGAAAGGAAGGAGGGAAGGAAAGAAAGGAAGAAAGAAAGGGCTATGGGATTGGAATCCTGGTTCTCCCACTCACCAGCCACATGACCTTGCACAGCAATTTGACCTTCCCCATTTCCTCACCTATAAAATGGAATGACTAATAATAGTACCTACTTCATAGGCTTGTTGAGAAGCTAAAGGAGCTAATTCACACAATGCTTTGTAGTGAGGTTCAGTAATTTTAGTTGTCATTATCATTATCTGAAGGTCCTCAAGTATCTTCTGTTCAGTGCCTTTTTTTCTTTTTTTTTGAGACGGAGTCTCGCTCGTCGCCCAGGCTGGAGTGCAGTGGCGCAATCTCGGCTCACTGCAAGCTCCGCCTCCCGGGTTCACGCCATTCTCCTGCCTCAGCCTCCCATGTAGCTGGGACTACAGGCGCCCACCACCACGCCCCGCTAATTCTTTGTATTTTTAGTAGAGACTGGGTTTCATTGTGTTAGCCAGGATGGTCTTGATCTCCTGACCTCGTGATCCACCTGTCTCGGCCTCCCAAAGTGCTGGGATTACAGGCATGAGCCACCGCGCCTGGCCAGTGCCTTTTATTTTAAAGTTCCCATGCTGCTGGGCACAGTAGCTTACACCTGTAATCCCAGGACTTTGGGAGGCCAAGGTGGGTGAACTGCTTGAGCCCAGGAGTTTGAGACCAGCCTGGGCAATTTGGCAAAACCCCATCTCTACTGAAAATACAAACATTAGCCAGGCCCGGTGGTGCACACCTGTAATCCCAGCTACTTGGGAGGCTGAGGTATGAGAATCGCTTGAACCCAGGAGGCAGAGGTTGCAGTGAGCCAAGCTCGCGCCACTGTGCTCCAGCCTGGGTGACAAAGAGAGACTCTCTCTCAAAAATAAAAATAATAAAGTGTCCTCATGCTTTTGAGGGCAGGCTGGGTGTCGGTAGCCATCACCAGATCTCACCTATGTAATTATTTATTGCCATCAACAGGAAACTGCAAATAAACCCAAGAGCAGCGTTCCAGAGCAATCTCTCCCTGTCAACTGTGTTTCTGAGCTGAGGAAGAGGAGCCCATCCATCGTAGCCTCCAACCAAGGAAGGGTGCTACAGAAAGCCAAGGTAGAGCCATAGTTCAGCTTATCAAATCACAGACCTGGTAACCCCCTTTTTATGGAAGTTCACCCAAAACCAAAAAATCAGCTAGTGAGAAAGGTAGAGAATTGCCAATGCATTTATGCAATGAAATTCATGAACCTTCCTCAGAAGCAGTAATCTTCAGATATTATTCAGAACCTATTCACTCTTTGTTAACACATATTTCTAACAAGCTTAATCATCTGGTTTCTGAGCCTACAATGTGTTTTGAGACAGGACAGGTCCCATTTCATTGATGAGGTAACTGAAAATCAAGGACTATGGGACTTGCCCAGGGCTATGCAAGATATCACTGCAAAAGCAAGTAAGTAAACCCACGTCTTCCAATTCTAAGTCCATGGCTCCCTCCAGGATGCTGGTCCACAGTCCCTTCTGTGTGACTCTTGGGGGTTAGCTATGTTTCAGAACTTTTTGGATTTTATAAAGGTAATATGGTACCTACACTAATATATGATGAAAACCCCAATAAGTCCTCAGGTGGTACCATGTAAGCAAACATGTTAATAATTCTACAGCAAGACACAGGAATATTTATAGCACATGGAGTGAATGAAGATTATAAACAGCCTCATATCAGGTCAGGTCAAGTTTTGCCACCAAATGAGTCTATACCAAAACAGTGGAGAAATATTTCGGTTTCACAGCTTTCTGGATTTCTAGATGACACTAAGTGAGACCCTGTCTCAAAAAAAAAAAGCACGGCTCTACGTCCCTCAGGTTGGAATTGATTTTCAGAGCCTGAGAGGGAAGAGTCTTTATTCTTTCCTACAGTTAGTCATTAAACAAATATTTGTTGAAGACCTAACATATGTGAGTCTTGTTATAATTTCTGGTTACATAACAGGGAACCCAAAAAAGTCCCTGGTCTCATAGAGTTGGGAAGACAAATACTTTAAATACCACACATAAATAATGTGATGCCAGAGAAGATGAACCTTCCAAAGGGGCTTAAGCACAGTGACAGCAAAGACCCTTTCGAGAAAGTGACACATAAGCAGAGACCTGAATGGAGTGTGAGGGAGAGACCCATGCAGGGGGCTGAGGGAATGACGATCCAGGCAGAGAGAAGAGCAAGTGTCAAGTCCCTGAAGTGGGAAAAAGCTTGGAATGTTTGAGGAACATCAAGAAGATCCAGGTGGTTCCAGTGAAGGGAACAAAGGGTGAGCATTAGGAGATGAGATCAGAGAAGTAACCAGTGAGGGGCCAGATCATCTAGACCAGCAGTCAGCAAACTTTTTCTGTGAAGGGCCAGAGAGTAAATAGTTTAGGCTTTCTGAACCATATGATCTGTTCCACAACCTCTCAGCTCTGCCATTGTCACATGAAAATAGCCATGGACAATGTGTAAATGATGATAAAAACGGCTGTGTCCCAGTAAAACTTTTTATTTTTTTTAAATTTTATTTATTTATTTATTTATTTTTTTGAGATGGAGTCTCGCTCTGTCGCCCAGGCTGGAGTGCACTGGCACGATCTCAGCTCACTGCAACCTCCGCCTCCTGGGTTCAAGCAATTCTCCTGCCTCAGCCTCCTGTGTAGCTGGGATTACAGGTGCACACCACCATGCTTGAATAATTTTTTTGTATTTTTAGTAGAGACGGGGTTTCACCATGTTGGTCAGATTGGTCTCGAACTCCTGACCTCGTGATCTGCCCACCTCAGCCTCCCAAAGTGCTGGGATTACAGGCATGAGCCACTGCGCCTAGCCCAATAAAACTTATTTATAGGCACTGAAATTTGAATTTCTTATCATTTTCATGTGTCATGAGATAGTCATCTTCTTTTGATTTTTTTTTTCAAACATTTAGAAATAAGAAAATCATTCTTAGCTGATGGATTATATAAGAACGGGCAATAGGCCAGACTTGGCCCACAGACTATCATTTACCAGCCTTTTCTCTAAAGCCTTTCAGGCCACTGAGGAACCATGGATCTTGTTGTAACATAATGGATCTTGCTGTGACATGATGGAAGGTTTTGAGCAAAGGGTTTTGGATATAAATTACATTTTTTAAAGACCATTCAGGCAACTATGTTGAGAATGGATGAAGGGACAAGAGAGACCAGCATGGAGAAGTGACTTACTCAGGGCCACAGAAAGAGAGAGAGGGGGCTAGAACCCATTGCAACCTGGCTAGTGGAGATCATCTAACTAGGTGCCATGAAATGTTTTTATCCATGTCATACTAGACCATTCAACAAATTGATTTGTCTTGTCTTTCTGTACTTCAGGAATGGGAAATGAAGAAGACCTAGGAAGAGAATGAGGATTTCATTCCAAAGGAAATATCAGCTTGTCCACCTGAGGAAGAAATGCTTTTTTCACAAGGAGATACCAAGAGAAGACTAGGAAGTAGCCCTCGTTCTCCAGGGCACCCAAAAGACCAGCCTTTATTGTCTGCATGATTTTAGGGGATATGGGGAGGGAAGAAGTAGAAGGGAAGAGGGAAATGGAGAGCATTCTTATGACTTTACAAAGGGTGGAAATGAGGATGGAGGGATTCCCTTCTGAAGAAGAAATGAAAGCACATGTGAATAACCCCTTCCATCCCATTCACAGCATCGCACTCCCAGTCCTTAAGGCAAAGGGAGGCAGTGCTGAAGCATTGGTGGTGCAGTGTAGAGAGACAAGACCTGATAATCTGATCACACTTGTTCCAACTTGATTCATATTGGGCATTACTGACAACCACTGGGCAAGACAAACAGGTTGAACAATCAATAACATTATCCCTGCCTGCATACATGTGAACAAAAGCTGTAGAGGACATGCAAATTCTACAGTCATTCCTCATTTGCTTTAGACAGAGTGCAGCTACTGGAATCTTCCAGATTTGAGTGTTTTAAAATCAGAGCTCTGAATACACAAAAGGAAAGAGAAATGGAGCAGCTGACATATTTTAAGCTCACAGTGATACTCAGTGACAGGAGCACAGAGCTCTAATGTCCACAAGATGTTGTAAGGTAGGGTCTTTCAGTAAATCAAGTCCCTTACCTATGTTCTATGACACTGAGGTTCTTGGAGCTATGGGTTAGAAATCCAGGAGGCAATATGTCATTAATCTAATGAAGTCCTCATCTTGCACTCAGAGGCCCACTAGTCTGCCCTTCTATATATTAAGTAAAACCAAGAGAAAATAAGAGGATGATGGCTTCTTTCTGTCACCTCGGTGCTAAACCTTTTACACACACTTGATACTTTCATAGAGGGACCAAGGACCTCAAGTCCTGGGCAGTCTCCCTACTGTGCTACTCACTACTGTCTCAACACTGTAGGTACTTTATGGGTCTGTATTTAACACATTTCCTTCCAATAAAGATAAAACCACTTAACTCTTAAGAGCCAGTGCTTAGCTCAAGAGGAAAGAAGGAAAATCTCAGAATAACCATGGCCACTTTGCTATAGGGTTTACATATTTTAACCCACCTAAGGTTTTACAGACTTTAGCCTCACTCAAATTTTATCACCCTCTGAGGTAGCTGGAGACCACAGCAGGAAAAATAATCTGACCAGTAATCACCCACTGATTAGTGGCACAGCATAGGACTTAGAGGTTATAAGCCCAGATCCAGATAGGGCTAGGTTTGAGCCCTGCCTCTGATGACCAGCTGGGTGACCTTGGGAAAGTCACTTGACCACTCTGATTCTTGTTTTCTTATCTGTGAAATGGGGCTAACAATTGTTACTTTTCTCCCAAGATTGTTGGGAAGATTTAATAAGATAATACATAGTAGGCATCTTGCATAGTGTCTGAGAAATAGGAAATGCTCAGTCAATAGTGGCTTTCACTAGCCAGGCATGGTGGTACTCGCCTATAGTCCCAGCTACTCAGGAGGCTGAGGCAGGAGGACCACTTGAGCCCAGGAGTTTGAGACTAGTGCACTATGATCATGCCTCATGCCTGTGAATCACCACTGCACTCCAGCCTAAGCAAATAGCAAGACCCCATCTATTTAAAAAAAAAAAAAAAAAGTGGCTCTTATTATTAGCTATATAGGAAATGTCTGACTCACAAGCCTGGGTTCTTTCTACTGAGGAAGAAACTACTCTTACATGGTAATTACAGCCACCAAAAGCTAAAAGGTAACCAATACATAACTGAGAGTTTTCATCCAAATTCCACCTGTGTTTTCACAGCTAAAGGGGCTCACATACTCTAGATTTTCAGTGTTCTTTTTTAAAAATGTGGATCCTGGAATGTCACCTAACTCTCCAACTATGTATTCAGTGTCTGTCTTATTCTTTCTTATGCAGTTATTTTGAGGTTGTCTTTTCTCACCAACAGATCTTGAACTCTGAGAGGAGTGGCTGGGGGTGACTAATAATTAACATTTATCAAGCACTCACCATGTGTCAGGCACTGTGTCAGCCATGGCCAGCTTCACAGGCATGCAACCTGTGCAGTCACAAGGGCCCCATGCTCAGAAGGGCCCTGTTCTTGGTTTAATGCTCTACTGCTGCCTTCTTCATAATATTTGAACAAGGGGTTCTGCTTTTCCTCTTGCCTTCTAAATTAGGTAGCCAGTCCTAGTGCTAGCTAACCACTTTTCCAGGTACTATCCCTTTAGTTTTCACTAAAACCCTGAGATAAGCTGTATTATCCTAGTTTTCACAGTTCAGGAAATGGAAGCTCAGAGAGGTCAAGTAACTTTCCCAGGCTCACATAGTTCTTATGCTGGCTCCACCAGCATGTAAATATAAGAAGTCTGACCCTAGAGCCTTATTCTTAATTTTAAAGCTCTATGTCATCCATATATCTCCCTCCCCTTGTACTGCAACATTCAGAAGCACACTAGCACTTAATAAACAGATGAGTGAATGCATGGATGCAAGCAGCAACCTGATGAATGTTAGGCAGCTAGGAGAAATGTAAGCAAAATGGCTAAGGCACAGATGCCACTTGTTCTTGGTTATTAAAATGCCTTGTTTAGGCCAGGTATGGTGGCTTACTGTAATCCCAGCAATTTCGGAGGCCGAAGCAGGTGGATCACTTGAGGTCGGGAGTTTAAGCCCAGCCTGGTCAACATGGCAAAACCCCATCTCTACCAAAAATACAAAAATTAGCTGGGCATGATGGCACGTGCCTGTAGTCCCAGCTACTCAGGAGGCTGAGGGAGGAGAATTACTTGAACCCGGAAGGCGGAGGTTGCAGAGAGCTGAGATCACGCCATTGCACTCCAGCTTGGGCGATAGCAAGACTCCATCTTTAAAAAAAATGCCTTATTTGGTTGTGTTTTTTCAAAGTGTGGGCCACAGGTCTAAGGTAGACTTGAAGCTCCATCCTTCCCAACACTGCCAAGTGTTCAGTCTGTCAGAATTCTACTGTCACTGTTTCCTTATCGGGGCATCTTGCACAGGTTTACCAACCTTTCTGAGCTTCAATTTGCTCACGTGTAAAAGAGAATCATAATACCTTCCTAAACCATGTCACCCTTTTCATAAGGCCAAAAAGAAAATATAAGTTACTGGTCATGACACATTTGAGTTGGGCCTCGGATTAGATAAAAAGATGAAAATACTCCAGCTCTGTCCTCATGGAACTCACAGACAAGCAGGAAAGAAAATTTGACCCAAATAACTATAGTACAAATAACCCATGTTATGACAAGATTTAGAGTGCTCAAGGAACACTTCCCATTCCCTTAAAAAAAAACTTTTTAGGGGCTCTCCAGTAACTAAGCTGGCAACTCCAAGTGTCCTGGACCCCAGTCACCAATCCATCCTCGTAGTCTGTCAGCTTTCCATCCTAAATCTCTAAAGTTCATCTATATCTTCCTATCTTCACTGACACTATCCAACTTAAGTCATTCAGCAAATATTTATTGAGTACCTACTATACTAAATGTCAGAAATCAGTGGTGAACAAGCCAGACACCTCCTGAAGCTCATATTCTAGTTGGAGGAACAAACTTTAACCAGGAAGCAAAAGAAATAAAATACTAAGAAACAAAAAGGGTGCTGGACACAGTTACTTTAGAGTGGTTAGGAATGTCTCTGTTCTCCCAGGACAGAACATAGCCCCGTCTTGCCTGGGCTACTGCAACATACTGCCTTCCATACCTCTTTTCTTACACCTTGCAATCTGCTCCACAGAGCAAAATGACTCTTTAAACACATAAAGCCTTTGTCACATGTTCCCTGTCAATGTAAAATAATGTAAAAGGTCAGAATCTAGTTTAAAGAGAGTTTATTCAAGCACAAAGGTTGAGGATGGCCTACCCGGGAAGCACAGAATATAAGAACGTGTCTGTCTTATAAAGGATGGAAGTCAGTGTTCCAAAGCATAGAAGTTTGTATTCAGTGAGGTTTAACAGAATTTCAACATCTTTCTATGCAAGGCTTAATGCATAGTTACAACGATCTGAGTAGTTAAGGTGGTCTTTTTCCTTCAAGAAAGGTATATTTAACATCACACCCTGCAGGTGTAACTGTCGTGGGGTCAGTTCAATTCAGGGCACCATCTGGTCTGAGTTAGGTACAGGACAATAAAGGAGGCCATCTATTACAAACATCAGTGATTGAGAGGGGAGAAATCTGGTTTCTGCTCTGCTACATGGACTCAGACCACAGCCACATTTCTCTCAAAGCTTAAAGTATTTGGGAGGTTCCAATAGCTTTGACATTTTATTTATTTTCATATTCCATTGCAATCAGAATCAGACTAAATTCAGCAAAAAAAATTTTTGAAGCTGGGAGCGGTGGCTCATCATGCCTGTCATCACAGCACTTTGGCAGGCTGAGGAAGGCGGATCACCTGAGGTCATGAGTTCAAGCCCAGCCTGTCCAACATGGTGAAACCTCGTCTCTACTAAAAATACAAAAATTAGCTGCGCATGGTGGTGGGCGCCTGTAGTCCCAGCTACT